GGGAGGAAGGTGGCCTAGAGCAGGGGTGTTGAGGGAGGAAGGTGGCCTAGAGCAGGGGTGTTGTGCCGCAGGCTCTGAGCGGGGAAGGGCAGTGTAGGCACAGACCCTCCCTGCTCACCACCTCTGTCCCCACAGTGTACTGCTGCTGCTGTCTGGCCAACGTCTCACTGCCTGGCATTGGGGGCACCATTCCTGAGTCTAAGCCTTTCTTCTACGTGAACGTGGCTGACATCGAGAGCCTGGAGGTAGAGGTGTCCTATGTGGCCTGTGAGTACGGGGCCCTCCCCTCATTTTGCCCTCAGGTCCCAGCCCTGCTCCTCCCAGACACGGGGCTCCTGGGTGCCTTGCTTCCCGGTGGGGTCGGGTGGGTTCCCACCTCTCTAACCTTGGGTTCCACAGGCACCACAGAGAAGATATTCGAGGAGAAGCGAGAGCTGTATGACGTCTACGTGGATAACCAGAATGTGAAGACACACCACGACCACCTGCAGCCGCTGCTGAAGATCAACAGTGCGGACAGGGAGAAGTACCGCCGGCTCAACGAGCAGAGGTAGCGGCAGCTAAGGGGAGCGCCAGGGGCTCCACCCTCCTCAGGGTAGCTCCAGCGAGGGGGTCTCTGCAAAGCCTGTTTTCTGCCCCTTCCCTGACGCATTTCTGCCAGTCTCCATGCTGCTTGGGATAGAGATGGAAATTAAGGGAAGTTCAACAGTGGAAGAGGCCAGGCTCCCAGTATGCTGCTCTGGTAGGAGGGGAATAGGTCCATGGTGCTGTTTTCTTTCTTCTCATGGACTTTGGAATCTGTGGAAACTACCTTTGCTGTCAGATGCTGTCCGCGTGACCTTTAGATGTACCTGTGTATGGGGCTTAGAACCCTCTTGACTGAGCATCTTCATTGTGTCGATCGCTGTGTTAGAAGCTTGCTTACGTGTATCTGATGCCATTTTCAATCATTTGGTGATCCTATGAAATAAATGTTATCATCATCATCCCCAATAGATAACTAGGAAAGATTATTACTTGCCTAAGATTACTAAGGGCAGAACTGCCCTGGACCCCAGGGATTTTGAGTCCAAACCCTGTGGATCCCTTTCCTGGCTGATGCTGCTTCCTGGGAGGTGGTGGCCCACTGAAGATGCCTGGCTGAGGCCTCACCTGTGACCAGGGTTCTGGCACCTGCACCGGAGTCTGACGGTGACCTCCTTCCCCACAGGCAGATGCTGTTGTACTCCCAGGAAGTAGAAGAAGACTACAACCCTTGTGAAGAGGACCTCTTCGTGCTGTGAGTCCTGGGGTTGTTGGCATGGGGTCTCCCTGAGGATCCCTTTGGCACTACCTGAGTGACCTGCATCCCTCCCTTGTCACTCACTGCGGGCCAGGGATGCCCTTTATTGCTGCCAAGGGCACTTAGAGCCGGGCTCCTTACAGAGAGAAACTGAGCCCTGAAATGCCACTGGGGGAACCCAGAGGACTTAGGGAAAGAAGCCGGGCACTGAAGAGAAACAGGAGTCTTAGTGTCTCTTTTCTTGTTGGGCTTTTACGTCGAGGATGTGCACCCCATGGAAGCTCTGTCTGTCCCTCAGGACTCAGGGACTTCTCATTTCCATTGCCTCCTTTGAATAGAGTAGGTCCTTGCACTGAGTATTATCGGATAATCTGACAGTTTAATTCTTGAATGAAATCTCTTTGCCACGTAAGTGCAGGAGCCAGGGCCTTTACACCTCACGGCACTGGCTTCATTTCCTAGAGAGCTGGGTGAAGTAGCCTCTGTGATGTGAACTGAATTCTCCCAGCTTCCCATTTGGCCTTCCAGGGGTGAGGTTGGGGGGTAACACTTCTGGTTTGATGTTGAAAACTTAACTGTGGGCATTTCTACAAAGGTGCAGCACCTTGATTCTAATAGAGGACTTCCTAAAACCTACATCCTGTTTAGGTGGAAGGTATCTGAGACTTGAGTACAGCCACAGCCTCATCCAGGCATGATATGTGTCATTGTGTCTGAAATTCCTGAGCACCCAGGACTGCTTCAGGCCCCGGGCCCTTTGCTAACCTGAGAGCTGTAGGGGGCTAGACCGTCTAGTCTAACTAGACAGTGAACGCCGTCCTGAACAGGGCTTGTTTGTTCATAGAGCACTCTAAAGCCATGACTTTTAAATCTTGATCTGTGCGTAACCTCACTCCTCCCAAAGAGTCATCAAGGGAGAACAAACACCCAAGGACAACGTTGGCTCAGGTTCATTTTGTTGTTGTTATTGTTGAATTTTCACTTCCTCTTATGACTAAGCAGAAAGAGAGAAAAGCAGAGTGTGGGGGCCTCTTCCCTGGCTGTGTTTAAACCCTGGTCACTTCCCTCTTAACAGGAAAATGGATTTTTGACAGGCCGTCTTGCTCAGAGATTTCCATAATTCTGATCACACCATAATTAATGACAAATGGTTTCTTTGCTAAACATTAGTAGCACTTGAATAATTGTTTAACTTTTACTCTCTTTCCTTCTTTTAGAAGATCGCTTCGAATCCACTGAAAAGTATATTAAAATAGTATAGTTTTGGTTCCTCATATGTGGATTATCTGGTGAGCTTTTTTTCCCCCTTCCTTTCCTTTGTCTTGTCTTCCAAATGCAGGTTTTTCCTAGAACAAAACAACCGGATATTTCAGACTTTGTTGGAGGTGTCTGCAAGTCAAGACAAAACTCTGACAGCAGAGCATGCCCGTGGCATGGGTCTAGACCCCCAAGGAGACCGGAGCTTCCTCCTGGACCTGCTGGAGGCCTATGGCATTGATGTCATGCTGGTTATTGACAACCCCTGTTGCCCGTAGGAGGAGCCAACAGGACTGGGAGCCGCCTCACGTGGGATGTGAGCAGCCTGGAGTTCATCCCAGGCCCCCAGAGGGCCTCATTTTTTTTTAATTAAGTTGACACAAAGGAATATTGTTTATACTTTCCAACAAACGTAATTTTTGCAATTTCCTTTCTGCCCTTTTCCCTAGAGGTAAGGTGAGATCGCCTTGGTTTTGTGTCCTGCCGTGCTAGGATGTTGGAATCTGCCACTTTTCCCCAGAGCTGCTGGTCCTTTGGGTTTGGTCATAGTTGTATCACTAGGAGTGGGCTGAGCTCTGGGAACATTGGGATGGACTCTTCAGAAAGTCTGTGTTGTCTTTGTCCCTTGATGTATTCGAGAATAAGACAACCATCTGTCCCGTGTGGCCTTAGATGTTCATCTGTCTAAAGGCAGAAACTAGACCAGATGATCTTTTAAGGTTTTTAGTAGTTCTAGAAGTCTATAGTTTTGGGATCAAATCCCTTTTCTTGTTCATTAGGGCAACTCAGTGTCTTCTCTGTTTACTTGAATAGGGACCACAAAGAGAGACAAAAGGATGCTTCTGACATCAAATGTGAGTTTATCTTACAGTCAGAGTGACAGAAGTTGCTTATCAGTAAGCTGAAAACTAAAATTACAGAATGAAGCCTTGAAACCTTCCTCAAGGTAACTTAATGGTGGCCATGCAATGTCATGTTCCTCTTTCTCTGAACCCCTCTTGGGATAAATTAGGGAATTGCTAAGGGCTAATGCTGGCCTTGAAGCTTGCAAGCAAATTCATTTTCCAATTTAGTCTCTTAAGGGTTCAGTGTGCCCTTGGAGTAAGTTGGGTATTTTTAAAGGGTAAAGTTTGGGCTGCTGGAGGATAGAACAGTTGAAGTTCGAGCAGGATAGAGAAGCCACTCTATGAGTCACTTCATCTGGACACGAGTTCTCTGGAGGCATTAGTAGCAACACCTCTGGGTCAACACAGATGTACTGGATTCCGGAATCTAGCAAGCATCTGAGCTGGTTAACTCAGAGGGTGGAGCATGATGCTAACAAGACCGTTTATCACTTTGGACCCCTCACAAACACACTTCTCTTTAGCAGAGGTGACATTCCTTAGGCTAAATAATTGGATTTAGGGACATAACAGATTTGTTAGAAAATGTGGCAGTGGTCACACCCAGGACACTGGTCAGGAACCCTGAGCATCAGCGATGGATTTATCTATCCATCCTCTGCAGTGCTGTGCTCTAGGCTGGATCTCGCTCCTTGCCTGTTCTCTCTGGTTGGCCTTTGCAGGAGGGCAGCTTACGTGTTTGTCAACCAGTTAGCCAGTTCCTGTGAGTTGAGTTTAGGCCTTTTTGGCCATGGTTGAAGATTTTGACTTGGCATACTGGGTTGTTGACGACAAATAATTTCTTCCTCCATACCCTTCTCACCTGGCTGTGTTATTGGAATAGCCCATCAATGAATACATCCATGTCTGTGACCAAGACCCAGCCAGACTAATGTACCCAGCAGAGAGAAATAACATTGAAATGGTGGGTCACACATCTCATCCCAAGATAAGGTTCTTACGGTTCATGCTTTATTCAAAAGTGTTTTTCACTATAGCTCCTTCATATGGAATATCAAAACTGAAGAAATTCATATGTGGAAATGCAAATAGACATTGATTAATGAAGGTAGCATCTTTATGTAAATATATAAATAAGTTTGGGCATTGAAATGTAAACTGTACAGCTAATACACTTTTCTCTGCACTGTGAGTTGCCACCATTTCAGTAAGGTGTATGTTTACAAAAGAAAAAAAAATCCATGTTTTGAGGTTGATACCTCACCTATTTTCTCCTTCACATGCAACCCTCTCCTCTTGCCTCTGAAGGGTTGATGGGTCCTTTCTAACTTAGGCCAAGTAATGGTTACTTTTCGTGGTATCCCGAGGCTCAGGGTGTTTTAAGCTGGGGGTAGGTGGTTAGAGGTAGGAGTAGGGGTGAAAAGAAAGGCCTGATTCTTCTAGAGGACACAGGAAGACTTCCTTTTTCTGGATTTGGGGAATCTGCCAGGAGGGCTGCTTTAGGCATTTTTGCTCCGAGCTTTCTGTATGCAAACACTTTTGTTTCCTGTGCTGTTTTAAACTGCAAGCTCAGAAGTGCTGGTATCAAGGTAGCAGGGTGAGAATGAAGTTCCTGTATTTTCCTTTGAATGGTGAGTCTGGGCTTCTGGGTTCCCTTAACTTGTGCTTGTCTAGGTAGCTTTCTCTTGCATCTCCATGTGTCACCCTCCCACTCATGGAGAGGGCCAGGGTATGGGTGGCCCCAGAGGAGAATGTGCCAGTGAGGCAGTGCCATGTTTCAGGTCATAGGGGCCTTGGGCTCAGCTGACCCCAATGCAGAGCTTCTCTCTTTAAGAGAGATCCCAAGAAATTGGTCCTTCCCTACCTTGCCAGCTTCTTCAGAGGGCCAGAAATCTTGCTTAGAGCTTCTGCTTGGCTGAACAGCTTGTGCGTTATCTCTTCGGTTACCTTTGCCACCGTTGATCGTCCTCAGAGTATGTCTTGCCTGGGCTATGAAGTGGAGGCTGTGGCCTCCAAAATCACCTAAGGCTTGCTTTGTACCAGATTCTGCTCCCCCACATCAGAAATTAGCAGGCACAACCCAGGATCCTTTGCTGCCAGTTTTCTGCAAGGGGAATTCCACAGTGACAACAGAAGCTAGGAGCCATGTGGACCTGCTTTTCTGCCAGTCTTGAAATATTTTCTGAGAAGCCATCTGCTTTTGTTCAGAAGAAAGTGGTAAACATCGTTCACAGACATCTAGGTCTGTAAGCTCTTTAGGGGCGGGCATGATGATTATCATTGACCTCCTGGAGCAGGGTTGGAAACCTGTGGTGTGATACCTTCTGCCACTATCTGCTGCCTGGCCTCAGCCCTCGCCTGCCTATGCAGGCCTAGTTCTGCTGATCACATGCCATACTGTGAATGAACCATGTGCTGGTTTGGAAATACTTGCTCACCTGAGATGCTGGCTAGGCTGCCCTATTTATTGTTCCTAAGTTAGAAGGTCCCAGATGGGAGTAGAATCCATGTTTGGAGCTTGTTGGTATCCATGTAAAATATGACAAAGGCCTGTTAAAGGGGGTGTTTTCAATTCTGTAGGCTCAGCAGATGATACTGCTCAGCCTTTGGGAAAATGTCCAGTTAGCCCCTGGCTTAGGACTCTCCACAAGGAGTTAGAAATAGTAGAGCTTATCTCCTACCAGACTAAAAAAAGCATGGGCCAAATTATGTGTTTAGAATTTGCTTGGGCTTTTAATGTGAAATATTCTCTACGCCTGCTAGAGACCATTCCAGTGTCAGTGTCCCAACTGGGACCTGTACGATCCTCAGTCAATTATGATTACAATGAATTAGAAGGCTTTTGCCTTCCATATCTATCATCTATTATAGCATCTCTGCTTCCATCTGGTTAAGGGGAGGGAAGCGGAAATCACTGATGTATCAATAGAAGTAATTTAGCATAGGAACTTGCATTTGTAACTTATCTTGTTTTGTTCTACTTGAAAGTCAAGACAAGAAAGTTAAGATAGCACATGGTGCAGATGCTCCCAGATGCCACATGTGAAGATTTGTGACCATGTGACTACTGATGATCTTTTGGCTAGAAGATAAATCTTAGCTAAATCACTGTTTTTCATTCTGAGGGCTATGAGGATGAATTTGCTATCAGTCTTGATACACTGAAAGCCATTCAAACACACTAAAAGATGAAATCACTCACCTTTAAACTGAGGCCTTCAGGGAACGGCAGTAATGAATTAGCCTTTCAGTCATAGGACATCAACCCTCCTAGAAGAGGCAGAGACCCGAGGGACCATTTATTTCCCTTTGAAACTGCATAGCCCAGGGACTGGATTAAGATGCTTTCTCCAGTCTCTGTATAGGTCAGCCTTGCATAGGTAAAGGAAGAGTGGGCAGGTGGATGAATAAAATAGGATAATGAGCTTGGCAGTGAACTTGCCTTATTGTGATGACAGTTCTAACATGGGCAAGAAAATTAGCATGGGGACCAATATGCCAGGCATGGGCTTTTATCTCCCTAATAGATCCCAAGCTTAGTGGGCTTGGATTCTGTGAAATGGCCAGTGCTCCTGTCTTGTCCCCTGTACCTTATAGTTATACCCTGGGGTGAGAATCCTGCTGACCCTAGTCCCGTCCCTTCTCATTTCAGGAGAACTCTTTTCTGATTCAGGTAGGGGGAGAGGGGGAGTTAAGGGCTCCATTTACTCCCAAGTCATGGATTTTTAATATTCCATTTTTATTACTAATATACCTCTGTTCCTAGAAGCTACTGGAGTACTGAGTGTTGTGGGAAATGGCTAACTGTGAATTAAGTTAATGTTTTTCTTATAAGAAATGGAAGTTTATTTTTTTATTGATATTACTGTGTGATGAAATGAGTATGCATATACTGAAATGGAAGGAAATGTTAAAACTATTCTAGAGGAAATGGGCAGTTTTGTAATTTGGTAGTGGCTGAGACCCTATAGAAGTTTTACTATGTAAATAATTTGGAGAGTGAATAAGGAGATTGTGCTATAAAATCTTGACAGCGCTCTTTAGGAGGCAGACTTGACAGTCCTAGGAAGGTTGACATAAAAACACCAACCTTAAGTAAAACTCTAGTACAAAAAAGGGTAAATGGCATCATTCTTATTTTTGGGCCTCTTTCTTAACTGGAGAGAGGTGGGAGTGGGAGGTAGATTTATAACTGGCACTTTAATTCATTTTTGGAACTAGAATTTAGGGGCAGTTGGATGAAATTGCAAATTTAGAAAGGGAATAAATTTTCTAGTGCTATATAAAGACAACGGAGAAAAAAAGCCTTGCTTTCATCTTTTTAGAATTCTCGAATTTTAGCATACTGTGGGGCTTCTAGAGTTAATATGAGTTAATATGATCTAAATTCAGAAAATTTAATTTTCATAGTAGGCCAGGTATGAATTACTTACGTTTCCTGTAGAATGCTTATTTAGACCAATAATAAATTTACTTTGCTTTCTGAGGCCAGTCAGCAAGTGTCGGGGTGAGGCAGGATGTTTTAATTAGCCAGAGATGATCCATAAAGTGAACAGTCCACACAGAGGTCACTGAGTTGGATGGTTGCAAATATTTAATTGACATTAGAATGAAAACTCCTTCCTTTGGGTAAACTAAACAAAAAGTATACTAAAAATTTTAAGATGATGTTACAAAAAAAAGTTTCGGTCTAATGTGTCCACAAAGGTTGTCAAGTAAAGAATGGTGGAGATTCTTGGCTTTTGAACAACCAACCTGGATGAGTGACTTCAGGGACAGAGAGCAGAGGAAAGCAAAATGAATTTTCTGTGTTTACCCAAAGCTTGTTGACTGAATTTTTGTACAGGTCTGGGAAAATAAGCCTAAACAAATAGTTGTAGCCTTAGAAAAACTTTTCCCATTTCTTTCTAAGAATCAGCATAGCCTCCCTGTCGCCTTAAAGGTAAAACTCCTATTTTGATTAATAACCCAGCCTAAGAGTTATAGCAATACGAGAGACTGAATCTATTTTTGTTTCAGGTATTTACCTCATATTACGAAATTGGTAAGACACTTAATAAATTTTGCCCTGACTACTGGTGTGCCCAGGTATGCCGTGCTCTCTCTGTTGCCAGTGGTGATAATTTTAAGACCTAAAGAAAGCTGGGGTTAATCCTGAAGCTAAGAGTAAATGTTTCTTGAATTGATTTTGTTCTGTGGTACAAATAACATCTATGAATATTGTATCTGTATATATCTGAACCAAGTTATGTGCAGAGAGGTTGACATAACTATATTTACAGAAAATGATTTTTACAATTAAAGTTCACATTTTAACATGAACATGTGTGCTGCAATCCCTTCTCTAGTCCAAGAAATGTGGTTTGTGGTAGGAAGGAATGGTGGCCCACCCCACGAGCAGAGCTGTGGGGCTGAACCTGACTTCACTTACAGTCCTGAATGGAGGAGACTGGGGAGCTGCTACCTGTCCTCCTAGAAGCCACGATCAGGACAAACTTTCTCCAGGTAATAGGAAACAAAGTTGGGAATAACTACACCACCCGGAAGACGAGTTTAAAACTGTATGTATATATTTGGTATATGTGTATATTCTAAACTTCTATTTCATTTTTAACCTTTTGGGGAGTCGCCAATATTTATTTAGAACTGGTATAGAGTACACTGCTGGCGGCGGCTCTGTAAATCAAATGGCCTGGAATCAACGCCGGGTTCCTACTTTCTGAGCTGTGTAACCAGATAATATTACAGACTGAATGTCCCTTATTTGAAATGCTTGGGACTTAGAAGTATTTTCAGATTTCAGATGTTTTAGGATTTTAGAATCTTTGCATTATAAATCCAAAACCCAAAATGTTCCACTGGGCACTTCCTTTAAGCATCATGGTGGCAAGGTTTCAGATTTTGGAGCATTTTGGATTTCACCTTTTCAGATTAGGGATGCTCAACCTATAGCTACTTCCTAGGGTTGTTGTGAGAACTGATGCATCAGTTACGTGTGTGAAGCACTGGCACATAGGAATTATAACTGCATACAAATATGTGCAAAGTAGGTATGAGGAAAAAAGCTTTATGTTAAGCTCTTATAGAAAGCAACTACGGTGTTTTTAACAAAAGTAATCTTTGCATTTGAGTGAAATTAACCTGTCAAAAGGTTTGTACTAAACAGAATCACCTGGAAAGGGAGCCTGACTTAAAAAATGCAGATTCCGGGGCCCCATCCCCAAACTGGGTTATTAAGTTCTTCTCCAGACAGCTCAGCATTCCAGCTTTGGCTGACAAGGCTCACTCTCTTTTAGTTGCATTGTTAAACATCTTCCATGCAGGCCTTATGGGGAAGGACAAGGCAAAGAACAAAGCAGTCAACAACAAGGAAACCAAGCCCTCACAGGAAAGAGCCTCAATCAAGAAAACAAAGTTTGAAACAAGGTATATTTATATTTATAACTGAATTAAGATTCTAATGTGGCTTCCATATCCTTCCCTAATTATATGTATCATTATGATTAGAACCACAAAATGAGCACACATATACACAAACTGGTAGCCTAGCAAAGCAGCAAGCCAGATTCTGCACTGGGCCTTGATACTGTTACAGAACCATGATATGCTGACTGCTCTCAGCTCAGGTGAAAACTTTTATTTTCATATACCACAGTATCCCTTCTCTCTGTCCGTGGGTGGTATGGGATGAGTGATCTTTATGCTGATGTTTGCAACCATCTGTTAGGTCTTTGCTAAAAGCAGAAATTTTACCACCCTGAAGAATATACAGTGTGAAATAAGAAGGCCTTACATTTTGTGATCTTCATTCATGGACTTTTCATAGCTGTTCTGTAATCCACCAAAGCATTGGTCGTGTGTCTCCACGGGATGTGTGGGCATGGTGTATGTAGTCTATCTGAAATGGGATCTGCCTGAGAGTAAGCCTGTAGCTCAGGCCTGCCAGCTCTGCTTCCTCCCTTTCCCCCCTCGCAGTCTTCGCTCATTGATATTCCTGTGGTGCACTGCCCTCTAGAGTGTAAGAACCTCAGGGGCACTAAACAAAGGAAAACGTCAGTGGTAGGAAAAGTAAATGGTGTCAATGACAGGCTTGGCAAATCAGGTGGATTTCAGTTCTCTGCTTTCAACAACTAAAGGAGAATCTAATCAAGTTGTTAACTGATAGATCATTATTAATAATTCTTGATAGAGCACTATGATTTTTGTCGAAATTCCAAAGGAATTCAAAGAACTGCACAAAATTGTTAACATACTTCTTTCTATTCTCATAGAACTTATGTGCTTACATCTATAAAGAAATGAAACAAGGAATACAACTGAGGTTGAACCCCATCTCAGCTGTAAATAACATTCATGTACTCTTGGATAAATGAACTAGGTTAAAGAACATTCTAATAGAACAATTTTTAATCATCAAATAATTATATTAATGTTTTTATTATTTGTTCTGGACTGAAATAACAGAAGAACTAAAAAAACTTATTTCCATTTATATTTTTTTGTTGACAAGGAGATAATGGGGCGAATGATTAAAAGATGTCAGCCATAATAGATTATGACAGGACTCTTGGCTGAAAGTGGTATGGAAATACAGAAGGAGAGAAGCCAATTTAAAATGTTCAACTACTAAAAAACTAGCTCATTTATTTTTATAAATGAATGAAGGGTGTCAAATTGTTGTGATATTTAAATGGTACTGAGTATGTTTAAAATAGCGATATAACAGTTTTTATTGTAAAATACCAATATTTACACAACACCAGCAAATACATACTTTGTCAACTAACTATTTAACTTCCCATGAAAAATTTTAGATGGCCACTTAGATGGGTGAGGGGATACATGATTTTTCAAAATAATACTTTTGGGGGGGCACATGAGCAGAATACTTTGTGGACCACTGTTTTTAAAACACTATTTCTCCAAGTATGGTTGAGGGACAACTTACAGAATCACCTGGGAAGGGTGGCTGACTTTTAAAAAATGCACACTCCTGGGCCCCTTCCCCAAATTGGGTTGTTAGGTTTGGGGTGGACCCCAAATAAACTTTCAACATGCATCCCAGGTGGCTCTCATGCAAACCATTTAGGAAACACTACTTAAAAAAATAAAAACTAGCATTTTACAGTATTATAGCCATGGCTGGAGGTGGAAACCACCTCACATACATTTCTGGACTGAGGATAGAACTGAAATAAAAGCTAAACAGAAGCTGGAGCTCACAAAATAGCAGCACCCATGGAGGAGCCTAGAACTAGGAAAGGGTCACCAGGGAAGGAAGACACTTCCCCGGAATTATTAGCACGGTCAAAGAACAGAACAAGAATGGAGGGGCTTAGGCAGGCTAAGCCCACTGTGGGCTCTCCACTGTGGTTGCACTTTGGAAGTAATCAGAAGAAAGTCTTTTTCCATCTTGAACCAGCCTGAGGAAAGTTCGTGTTTAGGAGGGTCGACCGTCACACCAAAAGAAAACATGCGCTAACAAAGCCGATCGCAATGCAGGTGACAGAGCACACTGGGAAGCACTGCTGGAGAGGGCAGAGGGGTACTTGCCTGAAAATGCCCTTGGGACCCTCTGACAACACTGTTGGGATGGTTGAGGCACCTGTTCCCTTTCAGCCCCACCGGTGGCCTAAAGTGTGGTCACAGAGTACTTATCTTCTGCCTGTTCACTGGGTGGGGCTTGCCAGCATCTCTCTCTTCCTAGGATCACAGAAGAACTGCAGCTTCCTGGGGAGCAGTTTCACCTCCACAGGCATTGCTTCATACTCCTCACTGTCAATGCTAAAAGAGCCCCCGGCTCCCTGGGGAGAAGAGAATATTCAGAACAGCTCACACCCACATCAGTGGCCTGCTTGAATTGGAAGTCTCTCAACAGCATCAGAAGTTCATTATTGGAAAATATCATCCTCTCTTGAGAATTTATCCTAATGTTCTTTTACAAAAAAAAAAAACTTCAGTGCCTACTATGATGGGCACAGTGCTGGTTCTGGAAACATCCTAATTCTACCATCCATGAAAGGATTTACTTCCTTTTTTTCGCTCCTATCTCCTTCCAGAGTATTTTGGGATTTGAACAACATGGTTATAATTTTCAAATATGCATTAAAAGGCAAGGGTCCTGACACATCTTTAAGGAATTCATAAACATAATATAGTCCTTTTATATTATGCTAATCCTTGTCAAATAAAAATAGAGAAAGACAATTAATTCTCTTATGACAAGCTATTATATCTGCTGGATCATTTTCATTATTCCTTAAGACTTGCTTAGCTTTACACCTAAGGTGTATCAACATTAATATCATTACAGGATCTATGAAACCCTTACATAACTCATGCATTTAATTCAATATTTATATCAAAACTGTGATGCCAGTCACTATGGGGATAGCTTCTGTTTACCTATAGTCTTTTTTTTTTTTTTTTTAAGACGGAGTTTCACTCATGTTACCCAGGCTGGAGTGCAATGGCGTGATCTCGGCTCACCGCAACCTCCGCCTCCTGGGTTCAGGCAATTCTCCTGCCTCAGCCTCCTGAGTAGCTGGGATTACAGGCACGCACCACCATGCCCAGCTAATTTTTTGTATTTTTAGTAGAGACGGGGTTTCACCATGTTGACCAGGATGGTCTCGATCTCTTGACCTCGTGATCCACCCACCTCGGCCTCCCAAAGTGCTGGGATTACAGGCTTGAGCCACCGCGCCCGGCCTTTACCTATAGTCTTGTTTGAATAATATAATGGCCACATGTCTTCGAAGGCTATCTGAAAGGGCTCCTTTTTTCTCTGTTGCCAGTTGAATAACCTAACAATTCAGATTCTATTTCTATTTTTTTTTCCACTTACGTATTATTATTCTAAGCATGGCATTTCATAATACAGAAAAATTCAGTGTTGAACTAAAAACTGATTCCAGATCCTTTGTAAAAAATGTTAAAGTAAAAGCCACTATTAACATTTGCCAGCTAGACAATTCTCTGTACATCTTAATGTAATAACCTTCTGCATTTTTTTACATATGGAAAAATAAAAGCTAGGAGACCTAAAAATCAAGAACCTTGGCTCAAAAATGATGGGAGCCTTAAGGAGTCCAACTCTAAATCCGTGACTCCAAAGGGGATTCTGCCATCCTTTTCAAGTCCCCCCTAATATGAGCCAGAGCCTGGAAAAATGCTTGGCACATAATACTAAGTGTGGATCAGCTAACAGGAAGGAGGGGACACACAGAGGGGCAGGCCGATGAAGAATAAATCAAACACTGTGGGACTACTGACCCCCTTCCCCACTCACCTCGGGGACAAGCAAAGTGCACTGGCTGGCTTGGAGACACTCCGTGCCCTCAGCATGCAGCTTGGGGTTCCTCACCTTTCGACTTCTGTGGGCACAGGAAAAAGCAAGCTTGACACCAGTGATGGCAACTGCATTAGGGTGCAACAATGTAGCAATTCTTTTCCCCCTTTTTTATGAGGTAACATAAGTGGACAGATGGTCTATAAAGCCACAGAGTTCTATAAATAATTTTTCCAGCAGTGATTCTTACTTAGTATTGTGATACATTCTGGACTGAATGTAGAGAACTGTGCATGAAGTTATGACTTTCTCTGAATTCTTCTTTTTAAATCATTCCACATGTACCTAATTCTTAGACTGTTAGTCTCAAATTTGAAAATTACAATGAAATTAAATTCTTTAGGAAAAGTGCTAAACTTCTGGTATTTGGTACTTGTGATTGATTACTTGAAGAAGAAAATATTTCTACTCTAATGTAGATCTTTCTTTTATGTAAGACAACTAGTCTTAAAAGTTCTCTGATGACTTCCTATCTGTGGGTCCCACTCCTGTGGATTCAACCACCTGAGGATAGACAATACATATATATTTGCATCTGTACTGAAAATGTACAGACTATCTTATCCCCTAGACAATACAGTAAAACTATTCACATAGCATTGACATTGTATTGGGTATTATAAGTAATCTAGAGATGATTTAATATGCATAGGGAGGATGTGCGTAAGTCTATGCAAATACCATGCTGCTATATAGAAAGGACTTGAGAATCTGGATTTTGGTATCTGAGGGAGGTCCTGGAATCAATCCCCCAAGGTTACTGTGGGATGACTGTATTTATAACACAGTCTACTTGGCATATAATATCTACCTAGACTCAGTGACTATGGAGTAAAATTTCCAGCACATATAGACACACTCCACCTCATGCTATACCTGTGACAGCTAGGCAGGGGAAATACAGTAGAAGCTAATCCAAGTCAATTAGTCCGTTATTTATCATTCATTAACAACAGTAATTCTACGAAACTATCAGTTTTCTACGCAGCTTCACAGTGTGCTCTTCAGATACCCAGAGGAAACAGACATTACTTGATTTCACTTCCTGTAGAGACCAGAAGGACACTGACTGTGGCCGCTGCTGGTGCTAACAATGCAGAACATAGTGGCTTCGCCTAACCTAAGCAATAGAATTGGGGTGTCTACTTCTGGATACCAGTATCGTAAAGGAATCAATATTGCTGGTCTCGCTGGCCAGACTGTCAATGAAGGTTGTGTGATTTCTGGACATTCTGCAGAAGAAAGAGGATTTTCCCCTCTTTTTCCTGTCAATACAGCAAGAAAATCAAAAGCTGCAGAATCAGCTATTCAGCCTCTGAAGAATTTATGCAAAGGCGAGAAAAACCAACTTATGTGCCTGTGTAGATAATGAAGTAGCCATGGAGACCAGGCCGTTGCAGCAGAAATGTGTGATCCCTAAATGGGCACGAGAGGGAGCTCTGAGACAAAGCACAAAAAAGCGGAGCTGAGCAGATTACCAGTTGGCATGGGAACACGCCAGCTCCTCAGATGCTCTGAAGGCCGGTGGAGGATTTATAGTATTCTTAACCAATAAAATTCTGGCAGAGGTAGGACTTAACAAATCACAGGACTTGGAAGAGTATTCTGTATTGGAAAAAGGCCTGGGAAATGTCCAAGGTACACCTTTTCCAGTTTTTCATAAAGGCCCTAGGAATAGGAGGACATGGTGAACTGACATAAACCGTAATGGGTACTGTGAAGTGCTTCACAATAGAAAAAGACTTTACACACATTCTCTTACTCCAGACTGAAAGTCAGTCCTGAGATCGGCAGAGATGATCATGTTATTCTATCCTCTAGACAGGGAAAGGATTCAGAGATGCTAAATGATCCAACTTATGACATCAGTAAGTGGCAGAATCAAAATTCGCATTCAGCTCTTTGACCCTGAAACCAAAGTTCCTGATGCTATGTCATGCTCCATTGAATTCTTAGGTTTCCACTGAAAAAGACTCCTCTTACATTCTGAGCCCCACAAAATTAACAGTGATGTCCAACATAGGAGAGGGGCACTATACATGTCAGCCCATAGTAAAGAAATGACGTAAAAATTCCCAAACAAGACAAGGCTTTGGCTGGATCCTGTCTTAGACTTCATGGCACACTCTGAATAGTAAAGTCTGAGAAAACCACAAGCCTCATTTCCCATGAACCCCAGTCCACTTACCCTATAGTTATAAAGTCTCCTTTGCTGACGGAGTCAGGTTCAATGCAGATGTTCATAAAATCTTCTTTGCTCTAAAAGGTTAAGAACATGAATGTCATTACTTTTTTTTTTTGAGACACAGTTTCCCTCTTGTTGCCCAGGCGTACAATGGCGCGATCTTGGCTCACCACAACCTCCACCTCCCGAGTTCAAGCGATTCTCCTGCCTCAGCCTCCCGAGTAGCTGGGATTACAGGCATGCACCACAGCTAATTTTTGTATTTTTAATAGAGAGGGGATTTCTCCATTTTGGTCAGGCTGGTCTCGAACTCCTAACCTCAGGTGATCCGCCTGCATCGGCCTCCCAAAGTGCTGGGGTTACAGCTTTGAGCCACCACGCCCAGCCGAACGTTATTACTCTTAAAATTTGGCTAATGCAGCCTGTTGCCGTCCTCAGCTTTGACGGTTCATAGTTTGAAGCTATGCATAGTTAGGGGACTCTACTTGTAGTGACTTAATTCTGAACATATTTTCAGTCTTTTTCACTAAGCGCTTTACTGAGGTACACTTTATAGAAAATTCATCTCCATTGCTTGGCTTTTTATTACTACATAAGCAAAAGAAAAACTCCGAGGGGGAGGTTCCGGAAGTTGTCACTCACTAGTAGTCATAGCTGCTCTAGTCTCTAGGATTACTTCTTTTGCAGGCCAAGCTTTCAGCCCATCCCAGCAATCTCAGTGTTCACTGCATATCGGCTTCACATCAGAGCATGGAATCATCTGCTTGGTGTGCACAGCCCAGGTGGTTGTGCTCCTTTAAATGCTCTACATGCAAATTTGGTGTGCAACCAGAGTTGAAAAACAGCAATCCATTTATTCTATGATAATGTTTAGAAACTTTCCATTTCCAGCCACAGAAAGCCCTGAATGATTTGAGCTTCGACAAAATGGCTATAAAAACAGGCTTGGTTCTTAGACCACACCCCATAATTTGCTGCCAGTCATTTACAGAGGCCACACAAACCTGGCCTCTGTAAATCAGTCCCACAACTTCTGAGTCAGCTTCAATAGAGGTCTTGTTTCTTTTGGGGTAGTTCAAATCTGCAGGTCCAGGATAACCCACAGGCCTCTGGGAGCCTTGAAGACTTTGCCTAAGATTAAAGGGTAACTAACAACTAATTCTCAGCTAAGAATTATAAAGCACAAAGTGGATGACTTTGAAAATTCACCTTTTATTCAACTACTTAGTGCCAATCATGCAACATGAACTCACGGAGCTTGGGTTATGCCAGTGAACAAAACCCACATGAATTTCTGCCTACAAATAACTTACTTTCCATGGTAGAGAGTGAAGGGAATAGATCAATCATAGTAAGGCAGTAAATTATAGACTCTGTTGGAAGATAAGGATACCACAAGTATATTAAGAGTATATTAGAAAATAAGACCAAGGAAGCAGAGCAGGGAACATGAGGTGGCGCTGATGGCAGTGGCTGCATTATGGAAGGGGGTCCATGGAGAAGCCTTGGAGCAGAGGCCTGAAGGAAGTGAGGGAGTCAGCGATGTGGACATCCAGGGCAGTGGGTCTCAAACTTTAGCAAGTGTCACTGGAGAGCATGGTAACACTCAGAATCTGGTTTTTGTTCATCAACTAAATATATATATATATATATATATATATATTTTTTTTTTTTAACTCAGACTCTGGCCCATCCCAAGTTTCTGGTTTAGTAGATCTGGGGTAAGGCCCATGAATTTTCATCTTGAGCAACTTCTACTTGATACTGATGTGCTGATCTAAGGACCAGACTTTGAGAACCCCTAATCCGGGGATGAGCAATCCACACAAGGGGAACTACCGGGGCAGAGGCCTTAGGTTGGTAGCAGGGGACATACCTGACAGGAGCAGGGAAGAGCAAGGAAGCCTCTGTGGCTGGAGCAGAGCGAGTGACAAGGACAAGAAGCGAGGAAGACAGAGGGAAGAGAAGCTACATGAGCAGGGCCTCATAGACCATGGTGAGGAAGCTGGCTTTTAGGCTGAATGAAGCAGAGAGCCACTGGAGGGTTCTAAGGAGGAAAATATGTTCTGGCTCCATTTTAGCCAGAGGATCACTCTGGCTGCCATGTTGAGAATTAAGACAGGAGCAGTACTGGAGAGGGAGACAGTGGGCTAGGAATTAACATTATTGAGAAATGTGTAGGAATGGCCCGGGGTTCAGGAGCTCCCAGGAGCAGTGATCTCTGGGCTGGGGGGTGAGTTAGAGAGGAGGAAGAAGAATGGGTTAAAGCAGTGATGAAGAATCAAGAGGACAACCACCAAGTCACCAGGCCCAGCGTACACCGGGAGGAAAAAAAAGAAAATAACAGCCACTGCTTAAAGGCTGTGGGGAAGGCAGAGCCCAGGGGAGAGCCACACTGCAGCTAGAACAGGGGTCAGGAAACTTTCTTTCAAGAGACAAAGAGCGAACACTGTAGGTTTGCAGACCATGAGGTCTCTCTCACAGATACTCAGCTCAGCCATGGTGGTGTGAAAGCAGCCAGAGACAACACTCAAATGAATCAGCATGCTTGTGTTCCAGTAAAATGTTACAGACAGTGAAATTTAAAGACAATTTCCACATGTAACAGAATAATACTATTTTTTTTTAATGATTTAAAAATGTAAAACATTGTTACCTTCAAGGCTGTACAAATATGGCAGCAGGATAGTCGGGCCTGTGGTTTGTCCTTTGCTGACCCCTGTTCTAAAGCTTTGTTCTGGAGGCACAGTTCAGTTACTTATAAAGAAACTGTGGTTCTCCAGAGGTGAGCCTTTAGCTTTGTTAATGGTGAACAGGGCAGCCTTTAGTCTAGAATTAATTTTGACTTACTAGTGAGGCAATACCTTTCTGAGGACACTACCCAATGCCCCATGTCTGAAGAGGATTTTCTACTCTAATTGGTTCGAACATGAACTATTCCTGGCTTTGTGAGAGGACTGACTCTTCTGAGACTGTCCCACCTGCTCCTCATTGGTAACTCAACCTCTGGTCTTGGGTGGTGGTTTCTCACATACATGCACCTGTCAATACTCAGCTGAAGATTCCAGAGAAAACCTCCATAAACCTCTAGTTCAGTTCTGGGTGCAGCTCTCCTCTCCATGTCTCTCTGTTGTATTCTGCCTTGCAATTCTAGCTGCCTTGATTTCTCAAAATTCTCAAAGGCCACCTCAACTGAGGGAGGCCATGGGCTCTGTCACCCAGGCTGGAGTGCAGTGGCACAATCTTGGCTCACTGCAACCTCCGCCTCCCGGGTTCAAGTGATTCTCCTGCCTCAGCCTCCTGAGTAGCTGGGATCACAGGTGCATGCCACCACACCTGGCTAATTTTTGTATTTTTAGTTGAGACGGGGTTTCACCATGTTGTCAGGCTGGTCTCAAACTCCTGACCTCGTGATCTGCCCCCCTCAGCTCCCCAAAGTGCTGAGATTACAGGAGTAAGCAACTACGCCTGGCCGATTTTGTCCAATTTTTAAGGTGTTTAAGGTATAAAGCTGGTGTTTTCTGCTTCATCTTGGCTAGAAGTTTCACATTAACAATCAAAAATCAATTCATTTTGTTGCTTTGACAGATTAAATGAGGAAACTATTATCTCAATAGATACTAAAAGAGTACTTGATAAAATTAAATATTTAAGATATTTAACATGAAAGATAAAAATGCTTAGCAAACTGGTGCCGAGATCGCACCATTGCACCCCAGCCTGGGCAACAAGAGTAAAACTCTGTCTCAAAAAAAGATATTATTTAGAATAGCATAAAAAATTAAGATAACTGGGAATATATCCAGTGAGATATATATATATATCTATATATATCTATAGATATATAGATATTAGGCTATTCTAGAGAAAACTATAAAATTTCATTGAAAGACACTGAAGACCTAAATAAATGAAGAGATATACCCCATTCATATGCTACAGGAGTCAATACTGTAGAGATGTCATTCCTCTCCAAATTATTCTATGGATACAATGCAGTAAGATCAATATTATAATATTTTTATGTGGAATTTAATAAAATCAACATTCTAAAATATTTATGGAACTCAAATGAGCTAAGAATAGCCAAGAGACTGTTTAAAAGAAAAAAAAAAAAATATAGTGGAACTTATAAAACTATAATAATTAAGAGAAGCAGAGTATTAGTACAAGTATGAGAAAACAGAACAATAGAAGAAAGAGACCAGAAACATTTACATGTATATAGACATGATGTACGGCAGAGATTTATTGAAGATCAGTGGGGGGAAATGGACATTTCAATAAATGGTGCTTGGACAACTGGCTTTCTATTTGGAAAGAACATAAAATTGGAGCTTGACCTCCATCAGTCACAAAACTCACTTATAGGTAGGTGGGAGTATTTCCTTTTTAAAGAAAAATGAAACTACATTGCAAATCTTTTCACCTATTTTTTTTCCCATATCAATAGATAGAAAATAATACATATATAAAATAGATATGATTTTTAATAAATGTACCAAAATATATTCAGTCTGATTAGTTCACTGCAAATATTTTACTCTTATAAATCCAGTGAGCATAGTTGTGTAAGAGATCCTAATCTTCACACATTCCACACTCCTACACCTTGTTTCATACACTGAATGTGCTGCTTTTAATAAGTGAACATTTTGAGCTATTACATGGCAGCTACACTGTCTTTAAATATTGTATTGCATTTGCTTTTATTTTTATAAAGAATTGTGCAAAAAAGAAACAAATGAATCTGCTGCTCCTAGTGATAAGAAGCACAGTATCATATACTTTTATAATAGGCACAAAGATAAAGAGCACTTGGCATTGTGAATGTGGCTAATCCTGAGCGCAATCGCATACTCACTGAACTCAATCCAGTCCCTTGTACTCAATCATTAGAGAAAAGAACAATGGCAAAGAACATGAACAAAATGCTCAGAATACATATTATTAAAGACTTATTATAAAGAAGATGTATAATTAGAAATTTTATCTTTCCCTTTTAAATTTCTCTGGAACAGAATCTATTTTTTTTTTTTTTTTTTTTTTTAGCATTCATATATCCACTTTCACCAGTGTTTTCAGATTTCCATTATGTAAAAAAGGACTGCCTATATTATATATTCATCAGATTTTTTCAGTAGGATAAATTCCTGGAAATACAGTTAATAGGGCAAAAGGTACGCATATATTTTAGACACTCAATATATACTACACCAAGTTGCTGAGACAGGATGTTCCAATTTATAGTCCCAGCAGAACCATACACTGCCACTAAGCTTTTAATCTATAACATGCTTTTTAGTCATAATTCAATGTTACTATTTTAATTTGCACTTCTTTGAAGAAATCACTTTTTCTGTCTCCTTACCTATAAAATACAGATAAAGATATCTACTAATAGTGTTAACTATGAGGATTACATAATATTATATAAAACTCTCAGGACAGTGCCTAGCATGCAGTAGTCAGCAAATATAAGCTATTTTCTCATATGCGTATTTCTTTTATGCATTTTCTATTGTTACCCTTTGCTCACTTTTTATATTAGTCCTTTGCCCATTTCTTATTGCTTTATCCTAAGAGCTTGTTATAAAGAAAGTGAATTCCTGGTCTATCACATGCTAATATTTTTCTCAATATGTAATTTAAATGTTTGTATAGAACGTCTTTTTAAATAAAAAGACAAATGCATCAGTAAGATTTTTGCCTTAGATGTCATGCTTAGAAAGTCCTTGTCCTCCTTAAGTTTATACTGATAATCACTTAGATTTTGTCCTAATACTTTTTTTTAAAATTTCAATTTTATTTTAAGTTCACATATGTAGGATGTGCAGCCATGTTACACAGGTATAAACATGTGCCATTTACCCTACTACTTTAATGATTTTATTATTTTATATTTAGTTCTTTAATCAAACTAGAATTTTTTTTACAGGGTGAAAGGAGCTATGTTTTCCAGTGAACATATATTACTTTTATAATTAGAAAACAACTCAATCCTCTGAATATTAATATTAAAATCAAACTTCTCATTATATTAATACTGGAATCAAACTTACCACTCTATTCCAACTCCATCTGCTAATTTTCAGACTGGCCTAGACAACTGTGAACAGACTACTTTGATCTGCGTAAAAGCTGAATGTAATTAGTCTACAGTTAACAGTTACTTTCCTATTGGCATTCCCATTAATATAAATTACCAAGGTTTTTGCTATACCAGGGTCAGTAAACTTTTTCTGTAAGTGACCAGCTAATAAACGTTTTAGTCTTTTGGGCCGTACAATCCATCAAAACTACTCAGCTCTGCCCCTGTAGCACAAAAGCTGCCACAGACCATATATTTGTGAATGAATATGGCTGTGCTCCAATAAAACTTAAAATGCAATTTATGGATACTGAAATTTGAATTTTACATATTTTTCTGTTCACAAAAATTCTTCTTTTGATTTTCTTTGAATCATTGAAAATTAGAAGATTCTTAGCTTCTGGGCTATACAAAAACAGGTGGCAGACCAGTTTGCCAATGCCTGCTTCATTTCAGCACTTTTTGGTGTATTGCTTATAGCGGTACCACCCAACAGAATTTTCTGCGCTGATGGACAGGTTGTATACCTGTGATTTCCAAAACAGTGGCTACTAGCCACATATGGCTGATGAGCACTTGAAATGTGGCGAGTGTGACTCAGGAACTAAGTTTTAACTTTAATCAATTTAAATGTAACTGGCCATGTGGCTAATAGCTACCATATGAGATAGTGCATACCTACAGATTGGACCTAAACAGAATCATATGTAGATATAGATACAGATGTATGTGTGTGGCTATTTTTCTTCTGAGGGTCTAAGTTGACATAATTAGTATAGTCACAAAAATAATAGCTATTTGCTCAAGTAAAAGCTCCATAATTTTTTTCCAGTAACAAATGGGAATAGTTAATTTTCATTTCTAAGGCCCTCTCACCCTAAGTTCTCTGAAAACCAATTAAGCAATGAGCAGAATATGTGATCAGAGCCCCAGAAGCATTTATGCCACTCCTACAGGTGGTAGCTTCTCCCATTGCCGTTATTCCCTAAAGGCACACCATATCCTTTCTCCTGACCCTGCCCTCTCTATCTCCACAGGGTAAAAAAATAATAGAATAACTGAATTAGTGGGCGAGGACTATAGCTATTGTCACTTTTCCTAGGTACCAAATGCTTTTCTAATAAAAAACCACACTTACTGTCGGGTCAAGCTGATTGCTCCGTGTTGTGATGGACAGTTCAATGGTGGACAGCTGCACATCTTTCCAGACCTCTGGGCTCACCTCTTGGGAAAGGGCTGTGGGAATCCATTAGCTACAGGTCAGTTTCTTCCATTAACACTTCACCACCCACCAGGGACGGCTAGTTGCTAGCTGCTCAGCTCAGCTTCTCAAGCCTTTCTGCTGACTCTTCGCCTTTGTTTTGTTTGTTTCATGCCTCTTATACATAGAGGTAAAAATGGCACCTCTGTGCCTAAAACATCACTACCAAAAGCAGTCACATGAACAGAAAGATTGTGCACAGAGACTGCTATGTCCATTGATGGGACACTACTTGGGCCTGCTCTGGTGGCACAAGAAGGATGAATTCAATGATCCCTGAAAGGCTTCTCCTGCTCTAGTTAAGTCTCTAAACCTGATTTTGGAGATCTACTTTAGGGCACTCCTAAACTGACCAGGGCCCTCCAATCTTCAGTCGCCACATTGCTCACCATCCTGTGGTTGTGCCCAGAAGGATGCAAGCCTTCGTAATATTCTCCTGTACAAAGAAGGCCTTTGTACAGGTGTCTCCTCTGGTCCACTGGCAGGTCTCTCTGTAGGTCCCGTGTACGACAGAGAGGCTTGATGAGTCTGAGGCCACTCCTTTTAATGTGGAGAGAGAAAAATTTTGTCATGCATCTACAATTCCACTCTGGGAGTTTCTCCCTGCAAAGGTTATTTTTTCTACCTATGCCTGCTAGAAAGCGAACTAATAATCTCCTTTCACTGGATGGAATGCTCTCTAATTTGGAGCATGGAATCCTCAGGTTTTCTTTTCCTCTTAAAGCTAGATCTGAGAAACCATGAATTCAGCAAGTACTGCCTCCATTGCTCCCCCTAACATGGACTAAGAACCACCATTTACACTTGTCCAAAAAGAGGGTGAATGAACATAGGGTCATCAGTAATAAATTTATCTTTGGCTTACAGATGGTGATGAAAAATGAAACTGATGAAATCCAGCTGCATCAAGTACTTACCTCACTTCTGGAATCTTATTCCACACACAGGCCAGAATGGTTTACCCCAGGCTCACAATTCAGTCCAAGGCTTCTCACTTCTGCATCAAAGCCCATCACCCTCACGCTCTAATTTTTTTTTTGTCTTCTGTGTCCTGGCATCCCAAGTCCAGTGTCAACCTGGATCACATCCTGACCACATGAATAATTAAAACCATACCCTAGCCTCTCAGCCCTTGACATCACCTCCAATTCGCCACATCCACCCATTTCCATGGCCACTTCCTGTCCCCTAATGTCACCCAGAACTATTCCACTTTGGAAATCTAAAATTCCGAGATCCTACTCTCTAATCACATCCCATATACTTCCGGTTGATTCTTTTGTGTCCATTGTGTCTCTTAGGGTGAAATGCTTCCCTGTTCTCAAGTTTCCATGTGGTGAATTACAGAACAGTAGCAATACTGGCTTCTCCCACTCCACCACTTACTCACTCCTCCCCAAGTCTAGAAGGACCGGTGCATGGATCCAGCCCCTTCCTTTCTCTCTGACAGCGGCTATCTTTGCCTCAGGTGTTCACTGCTTCTTCACGCAATATGCTTACTGTACTGGTCTCTGCCCTGAAGGCGCTGTTTCAACTGCATACGTTCAGTTCACAGAATTAGGAGATCAGATAGAGACCACATATCTGTGCTGTCCTCCATTCCTGCTGACACTTACAAAGCTGATGTTTTGATCTCCATCTGCCTAGTTCCTGCATTTGTTTTCATATCTTGGTTCAAACTAAAAAGAGGAAGAGAGGGGTTTTACTGTGGGCCCCTGAAGACCTAACTGCACCAAGTTTTCAATCACACTGAGGATTCTACTCCCTGCCCACTCATTTTCCCTCAGTGCCAAGTTGATAGTCAATTACTCTAAATCCCTTTCTTTTTCCACTTAGTCTTGGCCCTCCTATGTCTTTATTCTTCTATAATATGTCCTAAAAAGCCCCAATAGTGGGTCAGCCTTATCACAAAGTTCCTGTACTCTTACATCATGGCTCAGTATTTCTAGAGGAGAAAATGATACTCCTGCTGAGTATTAATACAAGGAAAAGCAGTCACCCAAAGGAGCATTAGTGTCTACAAATTGTTAATTGTTCATCCTAAGCCGCCTCCTACTTTCATCTTTCTTCAGAATCCCCCATAGCACTACCCACTGCCTTTCTGACAGGATCACTTTGCTTCCTGTACTTCAGTGAGAACATCAGGGATGTCAGTGAGAATAACTTTCTCTAATCTCATTTTCATCTGGACCTATCCTTTACTCCTCTCCTGTATCAATGAGGAAATGGGTCCCTGCTGTCCAGGTACAACCCAGTACTCTGGAACCCACACCCTTCTACCTGCTCATGGATTTTGCCAGTTCAGCCATGCTTTCTGTCTCCTTTCTCCTCACCACTTCCTGTTCTTTTCTTTTGCTTCAGGCTAGAAACACATGGATATTCTCCACTTTTAAAAACTCCACATTGACCCCATGTTTCTCTCAGCTTTTGCCTTCCCTATCTCATTCTCTTCAAAGTCAGGTTTCTTGAAGGAGGAGCTTGGTCTTGCCATCTCCACTTCTTTACATCTCCACTTCTTTTATGTCTTTGACTTTCTTCAACCTGGCTTCAGTCCCCACACTTTGGAGGCTGCCAAATTCAATGGATACTCCTCTTATTTGTATATTTAAAGACTTTGCTTTTGCTTCTTGAAACTCTTGGATTTTTCTTGAAATTCTCTCTTCTGTTGGCTCACCTGCACTTTCTCTCCGCACTTCTCAGTCATTTTTAGTGGTTCTTTAAATGTTTATGTCCCTTAGGGATATTACTGGCCATCTGTACTTAATGGTAGTTTCACCAAACCCAAACCCATGGTTTCAACACCACTCACACACTTATGACGTCTGAATCTATTTCTTCTTCTTCTTTTTTTTTTTTTTTTTTTTTTGACAGAGTCTTGCTCTGTCACCCAGGCTGGAGTACAGCAGCGTGATCGCTGCTCACCACAACCTCCACCTCCTGGGTTCAAGTGATTCTCCTGCCTCAGCCTCCCAAGTAGCTGGGATTACAGACGTGCACCACCACACCCTGCTAATTTTTTGTATTTTTAGTAGAGACGGGGTTTCACCATGTTGGCCAGGCTGGTCTCGAACTCCCAACCTCGTGAACTGCCTGCCTCAGCCTCCCAAAGTGCTGGGATTACAGGCATGAGCTACTACCCGCAGCCCTGCATCTATTTCTATAGTCCAGACCTCTCTGCTGAATTCCAGACCTAAATCACAATTGTATCTTTGCTTGTCTGTACCACAGGTAGTTAAACTCAACATAGATTAAATTGAAAATTTCACCTCTGTTAACAAACTTGATTTAGGCTAGTATTATCAACATCAGTGGAGAACTCCAGTTAACCAAACTCTAGACCCTCATACCAGAAATCTAATAATCCTATATTCTTCTGACTTTTAAGGTTCTAATTTAATAGCTCTTTAATCCGTCTTCTATTGTCAATGGTCACTGTTACTTCCTTAGTCTATATGTCACTTCCCACCTGACGACTTTAACAATCTATCTAATGTCCTTGCCTTGAGCTACCCATGTCCTATCTGGTTTTCTGTTTAGAAAAAAACAATTTTTCTAAAATGCAAATCTGCTCATGTCATGCCTCTGCTTAAGACTCAGTAACTCCCCATCACTTTCAGGATAAAAGTCAAATTGCACATCAAAACTTGTCATAACCTGCCCTTACCTAACCCACTGGCTTCACTTCCTGCCATTTTACTGCATTAATCTTAATTAAGGGCCATGTCACAACACTTTGACTTCACACAGCATATAAAATGTCTCAAAATTTAGTGTAAGTGTCACCTCCCCTGGGAAGAGTTTCTGACCTTCCTTAGATTTAGATGCCCCTCCCCTCTGCCCCATCTTAGTCTTTCACAGCACTCGCCAAACTGCTGATTTACTTTGACTCCCTCCCAGCACATGAATACTTCTTTAGGGTAGGAAACCTGTCTCATTTGACTTTGTATCCCAAGCATATATCAACAATTGTTTGCTGAATAAATGGCAGAAACAGTTTATATTCTCTCCGACTCTACCATTTAAATATGTAGCTACTCTGTTTCTTCCAAAATGTACTCACAACTTCAATGAAATTATTCCCTTGAGGAATAACACATTTTATTAATCCAGTTTGCCTTTGGTATATAAAGACCTTGCCCTCCCAAGTTCATTTTTAAAATCACGTACATTTACTTCTAGTACGTTAGTGTAAAATATTTTAGTGTTTTACATTTAATTTTTTAATCTAGCTAGAATTTTTTTTTGAAAGGTAAAGCTATGTTTTCCAAATGTTTTGCTATGAATATATATTACTTTTATAATTAAAAAAACAATAACTCTGAATATTAGCATTGGAACCAAACTTCTCACTATATTCACACCCCATCTGCCAATTTTCAGATTGGCCAGCCAAACTGTGAATATACCACTTTGATTTGCATAAAAGCTGAACATAGTCTGTAGTCCACAGATAAAGATGACTTTTCTATTAGCATTTTCACTAATAAAAATCTTTAGGTTTGTATAGTATAGAGTAGCACTGCCCAACAGAATTTTTTCTGATAATGAACATGTTTCATATCTATACTCTCCAATACAGTAACCACCACCCATATTGAGCTACTATAGTTTGAAACCTACTGATATAAACACAAACCTGTACAATTAGATATTATATATTCAGATATAAATCTTCGATTCATTTCCAGGTACTAATATAGACAATCATAACAAATAATCGGTGAGACATATGTCATTAGGTTCAAGGTTTGTCTGGCAAGAGTGAATTAATGACAAAGGGAAGTAGAATGCTAAAGAAAAATTAAATATGGGTTTGCTAGTGGAGGAAATGAGTTGGTAGATGAGGGGTGATTCCTTATCAAAACAGGAATGCTTTCTGTATTTTCATTTAATCAAACATGCCCCGCTTTAGTGTTGAGGCATGTCACATTCATCTGTAGCAAAATATTAAAAATATATACCAAATACATGTATTACAGAGAAACAACAAAATAACACAGCAAATTTCTACACTGTAAATCACATTTACCTTAAGAGTGCTGAAAAAGTGGGCTGCTTTGGTTTTTAGAGGCCCAAGATACCAGTACCTGTAAAAAGACCGAGATAAAAATCAGATAAGAATATTAAAAGAATCATCATGTGACAGATACCATTCATAGCAGACAATACATTAGAATTACATCTCTGCTATGAGTGGCTATTCTGGTAGCTAGGAGATTATGGCTTAGTATAAAAGAGTATTACATTCAATGTTAAATCCACATTTCGATGCCTTGTCAAGCTATAGGTAATTAGTTATACAGTAAAGATTCCTGCAATTTATGAGAGATATATAACCAGGCTCCTCGAGTCACTAAATTCACAACATTCTTTAAACATATTCTTTAAACCATAAAATATGGTCCCGGATAGAGTTGTCCCTCAGACCAAAGTCTGCAGATGTTCAAGTCCCTGATATAAAATAGCACATTTGCACATAAACTATGTACATTCTCTTGTATATTTTTTTTTTTTTTTTTTTTTTTTTGAGACGGAGTTTCACTCATGTTACCCAGGCTGGAGTGCAATGGCGCGATCTTGGCTCACCGCAACCTCCGCCTCCTGGGTTCAGGCAATTCTCCTGCCTCAGCCTCTTGAGTAGCTGGGATTACAGGCCCGCATCACCATGCCCAGCTAATTTTTTGTATTTTTAGTAGAGACGGGGTTTCACCATGTTGACCAGGATGGTCTCGATCTCTTGACCTTGTGATCCACCCGTCTCGGCCTCCCAAAGTGCTGGGATTACAGGCTTGAGCCACCGCGCCCGGCCTCTCTTGTATATTTTAAATCATCTCTACATTGCTTATAACACTTAATACAATGCCTACGCATCACTTGATTTTCATGGATTCAACACGGTACTTGGCGTGCTGCAAATTCAAGTTTTGCTTTTTGTAACTGTGGAATTTTTTCCCCAAATATTTGCTAGCTGCATTTGTTTGCATCTGTGGATACAATGGGCTAACTATACCTTCAAACGAGCAATGAGTAAAGGATGATAAAGCCACACCAAGATACAAACGCCGCATGCTCTGATGTGCTGATCCCAAGCTAAATGACTAGATCCTGTACACCATGTCCTCACACACGCAAATGCACATACACACACTCAGTTAAATGTGTAAACCAGCATGACTTCACATTATTATTTTACACAGCTTTAAAACGGCAAATGTTAAATCTGGGAATAAAGAGAATCTATTGCATATTGCTAAATACATAAAAGCTACTGGAGAGAGAAAGACACCTAATTGGAATTAGCAAATGGCACAAAGTAGATTCTTCTCTAAAATTTGTCTCTGTTAACAAATCACTCAACATTAACTGCTCTCTATTGATTCTGATCATATACCTTTATTTAGCACCTACTATGAATATGGAGGAAACAGAAGAAATCTAAAGTATAAATTTCCTTTGAGAGCCTATGATTTGAGAAAATAAGGCCCAAATAAGTAAAAGAAAACAAAGAAAAGCCTAACCTGATCACTACTTATTGGTAAGGGGAATCAAAAGGAGACAAAAAATCATTAAGGGTCTAAAATCATTGGAGAAGCCATGCTTATAAAATGAAGGGCACAGCATAAAGTCAGGGCACAAAACTTAGAATATGGGAAATAGGATAACAGCCAGAGAAAGAGGGAAAAGCTTAGAAGTAAAGATGCATAATTGCATAATTAGGGGTGATGACAGAGAAGTTGGGCCTGGAATACCAGAAAAAGAGCTTAGATGTAATCCAAGAGGGAAAGCAGAAACTTTCTAAATGATTATTCAGGCTAATATTGTGCTACTACTAATGAGGACCTTGATCATCTGATTTTTTTTTTTTTTAATTTATATTTTGCTGCTTTTCCTAGTTAGCCAAGTAGAAGATCATCTCAACTCAGGCAATCACCTTGTAAATTTTCCTCAGTTCCCTTCATCTCTAGCAATAGTAAAATTTGCCACTGTCCTTGTAGTCTTCCTATAGCCAGCTAGGAAATGACTTCTCCTATCTCTACATTGCTTTCTTAATACAAAGAGCAACGCTGTGAATGGGCCTAGCCAAGGTAGTACATAATAACAATCGGAATTTTAAAATTCTTTGTTCAGAAACCAATCGAGATATGGGGCAAGTATATAAAATAGTCCGAAAAGCGTTGACCTGTATTGTGTTTTATTGCTGCTTAACACAGTTTGGAAAGCAACTTGTCCTAACCAGACTTTTTTAGGGAAAGCTAAGCAGTTCCTCTTGGTGAGCTGCTGGAATCTGAGGTATCAGTTCAAACCCAAGGTAACTGTGGAATCCCACAATCATGGCACACTTGCAAATAAAAAGATGTGAAATACTTAAGAATGCAGTGTATAATATAACATGGTAATATCTCTCTTTTGACATTCCACTGTCAGGAATTTCATTAGTAAGAATAAAAAGTGAACAAAGTGAAAGGAATTTCTGTTAAAGCTGGCCTATGAAGTGAAAGAGCAGTTTCTTGAGAGCTACATGTGAGATCAGTCACAATTCATTTAAACCATACTCAGACTGTAAGCCCTCAACTTTAAGAAAAGGTAAAGAGAAAATACCACCCACCAGGTATGAAGCGAATCTCATGCGGTGTCCCCTTCAGTCCTCCTCAGCAAGCCCTTGCCTACTTTACCTCTCCACAGCAACTGGAACATGACACACCCTCTCTCCAAGACAAGACTTTCATTGTGCACAATGGATTCTCCAAAAATAAGTCAATTCCCATGAAAAGCCAGTGCCGGCCCTCTAATCAGCTCCTCGACAGGCCGGTTTCTCCCGTCTCACAGCACAGCCAGGCGCCGCCTTTATTTCTTCTCTAAGAGCAGCAGCCTGTGGTCTCCCAATCTGTGAGGCCTTCACAAAAACGCCTCTCAGGAAAGTCATCTGATTGCAACAGCTCCGTAAGGCTGTAGCCCAGGCAGTGCCTTCCACTTGGTACCCAGCTAAGCAGCTGCAGACTGACATGCAATCCAGTTCTCCCTGTACCCTAGCTTGAGCCTAACCTACGCTCCACCACTGTGTCTAAAAATAGAGACCACTGCCCAGCTACTGTCGAGGAAACTGCAACTTTCCTCAGCCTTTCTGCATATGGGACATAAACCTCTACCTGACTGTTCCTACCTCCATTATTCACACATAGTTCAACCTCCAGGCCCCCAATTTTATTCCCAGATCACTGTGAGTTAAAACCTGAAAGGCAGGGACAGAATAAGATTTTTTTTTAAAAACGTCAAACATTGATATAGTAATCCTTTACTTGCTAACTTTGACGCCAGCATCTCTGAAGGATCCCCATCGAAGGCCGGTCATTGCAAACACAGGCTGTTCCTTTTCACCCTGGAAGTTAAATACATTTCATTTAAATTCATGATTACAATCACTCACTGGGAATTCTTTACATGTAAGTACTCAGCAAATGTTCATGACCTACTTTTCATCAAACCAAAATTCTAAAAAAGTATGCTCAAACTTTAAAGATATTAACCCTGTGAGTGTTCAGTAAAAATACTGACATAAGTCACACCGTAATATGAAGTTAATTTTTTTTTTTTTTTTTTTTTTTAAACAGAGTCTTGCTCTGTCGCCCAGGCTGCAGCGCAGTGGCGCAGTCTCGGCTCACTGCAACCTTCGTCTCCCGGGTTCAAGTGATCCTTCAGCCTCAGCCTCCTGAGTAGCTGGGACTACAGGCGCGTGCCACTACGCCTGGCTAATTTTTGTATTTTTAGTAGAGACGGGGTTTCACCATGTTGGCCAGGATGGTCTCAATCTCTTGACCTCGTGATCCGCCCACCTCAGCCTCCCAAAGTGCTGGGATTATAGGTGTGAGCCGCCACGCCCGGCTTATAAAGCTAATTTTTACATATTAGGTTTCATGAATCTGCTGGCAGGGGAACATACTGTCATACTTTGGAGTGTACATTAGGGAGAACCTAATTGTGTGGCTTCAGGTCAGCTAAAATTTCTTTTCTTTTATGTACTTGTCCAAGGCAAAGATAATATAAGCCTGCATTCTCCTAATAGGATCAGGAGCTCTCGAGTCAGATCAGAATCCTGGTACTCTAGAATGTTTCACCTGAATATCTGAAAATACAGTCAAAAATGTGTTACAAAAAGTCAAAAAGTGATTTGGATTTAGTCCAATGTTTTATGGCCAAATATTGCATATTTTAATCAGTGAGTTTCTAATACATCAGTGAATTAAGCAATATAGAGAAAAAATATACAATACAGCCAATGTCCCTAAGAGTTTATGCTCCACACTGAACCTTCCTTAAAACTGATAATCTAGGTACCAGGATTCTAAATGGAATTTTTCCTGTAGCTCAGAATTTCATCTAAAGTCTAAGAGCTGAAAACTGACAGGCACCCAGGCCCCTCACCCCCGTCCCCCAGTTTAAAGAGAGCTACCAAATACTACATAAGACTCCACAGAAGTTGCTAAAAGCGGGCAGAACCAGCTTGATTCCCACCACAGCCAGTGCAAGCAGAAGAGTAGGAACTGGAGGCAAATCCTTGGCAGTTCAAGTCGCTGCCTGGAGAAAGCATGCAGTCTTCTCTGCAAGGGAAAGAGTGCTTCCCTCAGTACCACCTTCACTCCTGTTTCACTACACCAAAAGCAAGTCATCTGCTTTGGAATGATGAGAATCGAGAAATTTCTAGGAGAATCAAACACAATAAGATAAGCCTGCAAGGAAAGGACACTGGCCTCTCATCCCTTTATCTAGTATCTGCTCATGCAGTAGACTTGCATTTTCACTCTCTGTACCTGCTCTACCAAGGGACAAAGGAACCACAGAGGAATGGCAGAGAAAAAAGGAGACGGTGCAGCAACTCACTGGCTGGTACAGCAAGGACATAGTAGTTTTCTGGGTGCCTAGTGGAGATTGGGGAATATAGCAGGGCTTTGAGTCATCTTGACAGTACTCCATCTGAGATCCTACCCCAGGGGTGATAGTACCCGAGCAGTCAGAGGCTGTGGAGAGAGCCAAGCCTGGATGTTCTCTACAGGAAGCTGAAAGAAGTGGAGCTAGAACAGACCTCTAACTCAGAAAACTATGTATGCCGTGGGGAGGAAGCCCAAAGAATTCACACTTGAACCCATAAGACATCCAGCACAGTTACATCAGCAACCAAGAGGGAACTATAATGCTGCCCAGTAAGGGAAAAGATTTTTCTCTAATCCTTTCTCTATGTACCAACAATGAAGGAGCTAGAAATAGTAGGAAGCAGAGAGAGTGGAATGAAAAAATAGCCCAAAGACATTGATGGGAAGGAGGACTGCTTATTAATATAAGAAGGTGATGGAGGATATCAATGATACAGTAACATTTGAACAGAGACCTGAGGTACTTAAGAAATCCAAAGGAGGCCAGGGAGGTCACAGGGACTGGACTGTGCTTGGCCTTGAAGGCCTTTGAATGACTTCGGTGTTACTCAGAGATGGGAAGCTGTTGAAGGGCTCTGGGCAGAGAAGCGCCGTGCTCTAACTCCTGACCATACACTGGCTGTTGTGCTGACCACAGACTGTAGGGAGGCAAGGGCAGAGGTAATAAGAGCTAGAGGACTCCTGCAATGATCCAGACAAAAGATGAAGGCAGCTGGAACCAGAGTTCTAGAATAGAGGCAAGAAAGAAAGCTTGATTTTGGACATATTTTGGAGATAGAAACAATATGATTTCTTGACTGACTGGGGGAGTCAAATATGACTCCGGAATTTTGGGGTTTAATAAGTGACGATTTTATCAAAGTATAAGTGATCATTTAAAGACTGTATTATTTTTGGCTGGGTGTGGTGGCTTACACCTGTAATCCCAGCACTTTGGGAAGCTGAGGCGGGTGGATCACTAAGTCAGGAGTTCAAGACCATAGTGGCCAACACAGTGAAACCCTGTCTCTACTAAAAAAAAATACAAAAGTTAGCTGGGCATGGCGGCTCATGCCTGTAATCCCAGCCACTTGGGAGGCTGAGGTAGGAGAATGCTTGAACTGGGACCTGGAGGTTGCAGTGAGCCGAGATTTTTTTTGCCACTGCACTCCAGCCTACGCTACAGAGCAAGACTCCATCTCAAAAAAATAAAATAAATAAAGACTGTATTATTTCTTAGGAATGTTACATGCTGATCACTAAAGATTTATAAAACGGTATAATAACGTAGAACAATTATTTTGAAGTAAGAATCCTCACAGAATAACTAAGTGATCCTAGGCAGGTCACTTAACTTATATGAACATTGGCTTCTGCCTCTGAAAACAGGGTCATCTTTTGCTTAAAACTAAAACTTCTCTACATTATCTCCTATGAGTGTATAAAGGGCTATCACCACTGTATCCTCCCCTGCTAGCAGTGAGTGGCCAATAATAAATAGAATTTATAATCAATAAATATAATTTTAAAATTGCTATTTTTAATCATAAAATGAGGTGACAGGATAACCTCATAAAGCTTTTATATGAGCCAAAAATATCCCTACTCTCACTGGAATTTCACAAACATCACCTCTTATGTATCTGAAGACAGATAAGTTTTTACTCATCCGCTCAATATTGCTGGAACCCCTACTCAGCTAGCATGGCGCTGGGAGTTGAGGACGCTCAGGGGAACAGGCTAACATGCTCCCTGCCTCGAAGTGCTTACATTCCCTGCCTAGCCTTTATGCTCTCCAAGCTAAATGTCTAGTCTTTCCATTGTTCTGCTTGATTTTACAGCCTCATTACCTTGTTTACTCAACCCCCTCTGTTGTTTGCCTCTCTTAATTCTGTCATCTAGAACTGAATCTCAGTGTTGTCTAAATTAAATCCCACTTAATGCCTTCACCTTAACAAAATTGCTAAGTAAGTATAATTGTGTGGTAAGTTTTTATACACCAGGCTTCTGATTTATATTGAGATACCTAGAGTATTAGGGAAGTAGGTACAACTGTACAATGGGTGGGGGGAGCTAAGGAGATGGATGGTCAAGGAAAACATAATATAAATTTTAAAATAAAACACGAGTTATTTTTAATTGATAAATCACACTTGGATATGTTTATGGGGTACGATGTGATTTACATGTGTATGAAATGTGGGATGTTTAAATCAAGCTAATTAAATATTCATCACCTAATATACTTATCCTTTTTTGTGGATAAGTAAATTAGGTGATGAATTTTTTTTTTTGAGACATTTGAAGTTTATTCTCTTAGTCATGTTAAAATATGCATTATTATCTACTATAGTCACTCTGCTATGCAATAGATCTCAAAACTTAATCCTGCTATCTAACTGCAACTTTGTACTATTTGGCCAGCATTTAAAAAACAAGGTACCCAGATTAGGGGAGGTTGGAAAGCACTGGAAAGAAGAGAAAAGAGAGAAGAAAGTGATTCTAGCCTAAGGGAGAGAAACAACAGTATGTGTCTATAGCATTGCCTCGAATGTCATAACATGTTAACAAGCGTTATGTCTGAAGATGCTGCTGCTACTGCTGCTGATGATGACAGAAGATTCCATGGTGAAATAAATTGGAAAATACCAAACTTACTTGGTTTGAAGCAAGTTATGTTTACTGCAGTTCTTAGAGTCTTTAGTATGTTAATGGACATTACATATTTCCAAAAGAGGAAGCACAATATACAGCCTTCCTGAGATGTTAATTGTGCAACCCTTCTCTGGGAGCACATTTTTGTGTAATTAATGTTTCTTGATAAATGCTATTTTAAAGCATGTAGTATAGGCAAGAGGTGCTGAGATAAGTACTTGAGGCTTGCTGGCTGATCCTCTAACCCTGTTTTCTCTTTCTTCATCTCGGGGGAAGAATTTTAGGAATATTCTGTTATAATTAAATAAAAAGCCTTGTCACTTCAAAGTTCCACTGATGTGGAATGCTATGTCCTAGCAAAAGGTGGGAATGGCTGTGGACAACAGGAAATGAACAATCACGGCAGAATATGTGTGAGCAGATCTAGAAAATAATTAGTATTCCGGATAGGCATAGGACTGTCAAGATTCAGAAGTGCCCTGAGGACCAGTCATGGAGAGACTAGTCCCTGTTGGGGTATAGATGAACACAGAAAAAATAAGCAAGGTCAGATGACAGACAAAGTAGAAGCCAATAACAGACAAAATACCACTGTATCTTAACCCACTGAAGGTCTGGGTAGGTAGTCAGATTATGAGATAGATGGGTCGGTAAACAAAACAAACAAACAAAGAAAGACAAGCACACAGCCAGATCTTCACAGCAAAGGAGATGTGCTGCCCCAATTCACAGATTCCCCTAGAAAGAGTAAATCCCTGGGAGAAAATCACCTAGGGTTTATGGGAGAAAAAACTGAGTGAGCTGGATGAAATAAACATGTAAAGAACACTGAAAAGAAAGCAAGTCCTATAAATCAGATAGATGCCTAATCTAGAAATTTCAGAGATTCTAGATAAACAGGAAGAAAGAAAGTAGAAGGTGCTCTAAAGGAGTTCTGAAGCAGCTTCAAGCATCATCTTAAGAGTATGAGCAGAGCCAGGGTCTAGAAAGGAGTCCATGTAATTAGCCAGGTATGACAAATAGGGAAAAGGGAAAGGTTCTAACTCCCCATGAACTCCTCTCCATGCCTTATTTGGTTCTGTGTTGGTAGGGTCTTAAAGAGTCTAGTTGAAAAAACAAAAAGAAAAAGCTAGAAAGAATTCCATAAACCTCCCCAGTAACTACTCTAAAGTCAAGTATCAGGCATTACAGGTGTCTGTTTATATGGGAAAAACTGCCCTTCAAAAATGACGGAATGGTGCCAACTATGATGCCACCTGGACACAGCATTAAGTGAAAAACCAACAGACCATGAGAAGGAAAATCTAAATTCTAGTTACATCTCCAGCACGACTAGTCATAATCAAAGGATTCTTTTTTTCCCTAACCTGTCAAATGAAGATACAAATCTCACCTTGACTTCCTCACCGAGTAGGAGATTCAAGTGAAATGTGAACACAGATTGAACAATGTAAAAAGCTAAAGATAAGGCATTATTATTGTTTCCAAGGACTTTTTTTTTTTTTTTTTTTTTTATCTTTGGAGAATCTTCAGACATATGTTTAATGGGCTTTGGGTTGTTCTTTAAATAAGAAAAATGTGGTATCAGGCTTTATCTATAATGCTTGTAGTACAAGGCTCTGTCTATAATCTTTTTCCCCATATTCTGAAATTAATTTTCAGAAATAAAGGAAAAAATAGAAAATGTATCCAACTTAGCTGGGTTCCTCAGAAACCAGAGCAGAGACTGAGTACCACGTTTTCTAAGAACTGATTTTTAAAGTTTTCTGCTTCCTGGGTCGTGTCATCAATATACAAAGCCTGTGGTAAATTTGACACTGGTTTCATCAACTCACAAAGTCAGTATATTTCAAAGAAAAACATAAAGGAGATAAGAGACATTTAAATATAAGCACAGCAAGAATTTCCAGTTAAATCTCAGATACTCTGGGATGCATTACTTCTAACACATATATAAGAAAGAATAAATCACTCAGTTGTTAAGAGATGTATCCTGCTGCACCTCCTTTGGTGATAACAGTATTTTAAATAATATCTTCATAGATACCAATCTGTATAGTACCCTTCCTAGGCTGAAATTTCAGCATAGCCATCCTATTTTGTGAAAACAAGTTAGCTTTATTATATGCTAAAAGATCAAGTGCAATTTAAATCACTTTCATTACGACCAATGACTTCGTGGTGAAGAGTCCAGACATCAGTGCATGAAGAAGAAAGGAAAATAAAATCCATGGGGCCCCAAAACAATCACAACAGTAACATCAAAGATCACTGATCACAGATCATCATAACAATACAGTAATGATAAAAAAAAGTTTGAGATATTGTGAGGATTACCAAAATGTGGCACAGAGTCAAGAAGTGAGCACATGTTGTTGGAAAAATGACACTGGTAGACTTGCTTGGGGCATGGTTGCCACAAATGTTCAAAAAGCACAATATCTGTGAAATGCAATAAATCGAAGTATAATAAAATGAGGTACGTCTGTATAACAAAGAGGTTAAAGATAAGGTCTAAAACCCATCAGTCAAAAAGTAGTTAAAATTAGCCAGTTGTGGTGGTGGCTGTCTGTAATTTCAGCTACTTGGGAGGCTGAGGCAGGAGAATTGCTTAAACCCGGGAGACAGAGGCTGCAGTGAGCTGAGATCGTGCCACTGCACTCCAGCCTGGGTGACAGACAGTGACCCCTTCTCAAAAAAAGAAAAGAAAAAAAATAGGTATACTTTACTGAACTGTACACTTAAAAAATGACTACACTGGTAAATACTGTTTTTAGCCACATTTTTAACATAGGAGCAAAAGCATATTAATTAGCGATAACTAGAATTAACGGGTAAAATTATTTTCTCTGGGGAGTAATACTTGGGGTAGGAATGGAGGAGCAACTATTTATTTTCATTATAACCTCATTTGAACTGCTACATTTGATTTTCTTTAACATGTAAGTGTGAATTACTTTCACAATTTTTTCAATATGTAAAGAAAAGATTTACCTTGATCTGCAAGACATCAAGTGGAACGGTCTCTCCTTTCACAATGGCAAGCGTGGCATCAGTAATATGTCTAAAAGAGAGAAAGAAATGATCACACTGTGAAAAACAGGCAACACCCCCCGCAATACTGCCACACGCACTCAAAGCACACACTCAAACACAGTCTCTCTCTCTCTCTTTCCTGCTCAAAGTACTAGTAGCTGATCAGAGCAGAACAAAGTAGTATAAAGAATTACTGACACAAATACAGTGAAAGGCTCTGACAGGGACTCAAAGAGAAAGCTTTGGCTAGAAGAAGTTCACACAAGGCACTGATCATTTATTCATTTAACATTTACTGAGTCTCTGTGTTGTACCTGACTCCTATTTACCATTGGAAAATATGATACTTAAATAATAATAACATTTTTTATTCATTGTAAGAAATTCAGGCATTTGCAAAAACAATATTCTTGCTCTAGAGCCAGAAGGGTAACTAAAGGGTGAGGTTTACTGTAGTTATCTTAGCAAAATATAATCCAGAATCTGAGACATATTTCTCTTATTTTCCAGGACTGCTAGGATGCACTTCGTTTTAATTGCTGAATCTTTTTAACACAGACTGTTCTTATCTCTACATTCTGATAGTCATTTGGAAGTCTATAGCTTAAAAAATATATTCATCAAAAGGCATGTACTATTGACATCTATGTAGCACATGTGAAACTATGCCAGGCTTGGAAGCAGTTCTAGAGTTTGTAATTTATTAGATCCAAGGTTAGACACACATAAATATACAACACATAGTCCATAAAAGAAATTTTAAATCAGCAAGTGGCTACACAGTAAGACATGCTGTCTCTTGGAGCAGAGAAAATGAGTACACCCACACCACACGCTTCCTTGCCCAGTGTGCCCACCCCTCCTGGGAATAGTCTGCAGTCTCTGTGCATGGCTGGCTAGTCTCTTCCTTCAGATCTGAGCTGAACTATCACCACCTCAGAGACCTATCCCAGCCAGCCTAGAGGTATGTCCTTCCCTAAGCTCCATCACTGAACTGCATTCATAACTCTCCACAGTAGATAGATCGCAATTCATGATACTTATTTCTTTATTTACTTTACCATCTGTCTCCTCTGGAGATCGAAAGTTCTACAAGGTTAGTGATGATTTACACCCATTTATTGACCAATATAAAACCTACACCTAGCACAGTGCATGGCACATAATAGGCATTTAATATTCACTGAATGCATTATTTTATTCTATAAAATTTCCAGCATATAAAAAAAGTATAGATGATTATACCATGAACCCATGCATTCCTCATCCAGCCCTCAGCAATTACCAACTCATGGCAAATCCTGTTTCCTTCTATATCCCCCACTCATTGCCCCTACCCTGTATCAATTAAAGTAACCCTAGATATCTTCACACTTCATCCATAAATTATTCATTATGTATTCCAAAAGACGAAAACTTTTTAAAAAAAAGTGAAATATCATTTTCATACCTAAAATATTAAACAATTCGTTTATATCAAAATATACTTACTCAATGTTCAAATTTCCCCATTAACTCATATGTATTTTAGTTTCTTTGTTCAAATCAGGATCCAAATAAGATGTATTAATTGCAACTGGCTTATAGGTTTCAGGTCTCTTCCAATTTATAGACTCCCTTTCCTCTTCTCTTCCATACTTGAGGAAACAGGTTGTTTATATTACTGAGTTTCTAAGGTTTGGATTTTACTGATTGTATCCCTGTGGTATTAACATGCACCTCCATTCCTTGTACTTTCTGAAAATCTTATCTAGAATAGAAAATCTGTAATGTATTTAGCCTTAAGCTTTTGGCAAAAATACTCCACATGGTGGTATGTACTTCCACCACAAGGTACTTGATATTCTGCTTCTCTCTCCTTTTGTGATGGTGGAAATGATCAATAATCACTGTCTACATGGATTAATTAATAGACTTGCAAACTGGTAATTTAAAAATTCTATTATTCCTTCCAGTTTATTATCTGGTCTGCAAAGAGAAACTTTCTTTCATTCATAATTTGGATACCCTGAAATATAGGTCATATAAGAAAGTCAGAATACTTGATTTTTAAACTTTTTAAAAATCAGTTTTCAAAATAACACATTGATTTCCTAGTATCCTCCAAAAGTGACCAGTTTTTCACTTTTATTTACCTAGTATCACTATGACCTCCTTCAGTGATTTAAAAATATTTGATATATCTTAATACATTACAGTTATTTGCCTTATTGATATTCAAATTGTCCCAAATCAATGCATTTTAATGGTGGGATACAAGGGTCAATATACAGTTAGAACGAACAATGAGAAAGAATAACCACAGAAGGTCCATATCAATGTTACTCAAACTGAGGAGAAACTAACAGCCCTTCCTTAATGCTTACTTAAGCAAGCAGAATTATCTAAGTTTGAAATAACTTCCGTAATTTTTTTAAACCTTTTTTTAAGACTTCGTTTTCTTAGAGCAGTCTTAGGTTCATAGCAAAATTGAGGAAGGTACAGAGATTTCCTATTTACCCCTACCCCACATATGCACAGCCTTCTCCAGTATCAACATCCCCACCAGCATGGTATATTTGTTAAAACTGATGAACCTACATTCACACATCATTATCACCCAAAGTCCACAGTTTGCAACACAGGAACAGAAAACCAAACACCGCATGTTCTCACTCGTAAGTGGAGCTGAACAACGAGAACACGCGGACACAGGGTGGGGAACAGGGCCTGTTTGCGGGGTGAGTCAGGGGGATGGAGAGTATCAGGACAAATAGCTAATGCATGTAGGGCTTAATACCCAGGTGATGGGTTGATAGGTGCAGCAAACCACCATGGCACAGGTTTACCTATGTAACAAACCTGTGTGTTCTGCAAATGTATCCCAGAACTTAAATTTTAAAAGTCCATAGTTTGCACTAGGGTTCACTATTAGTGTTGTACAATGTGTAGGTCCGGATAAATGTATAATCATATGTACACACCATTAAGAGTATCACACAGAGCATTTCCACTGCCTTAAAAATCCTCTGTGCTCCAGCTTTTCATACCTTAACCTTAACCCCTGGCAACCACGAATCTTTTTATTTTCTCTATAGTTTTGCCTTTTCCAAATGTCATACTGTTAAAATCATCCAGTTTATAGCTTTTCAGACTGACTTATTTCACTTAATAACATGCATTTGAGGTATTCTCATATGATTTCATGGCTTGATACCTCAATTCTTTTTATTGTTGGATATATTCCATTGTCTGAATGTACCACACTTTATCGATCCATTCAACTACGGATTAGTTTTTCTTGTGTGAGTTTTGGCAAATTGTGTCTTTCAAGGAATTGGTCCATTTCATCTAGGTTATCAGATTTGTGGGTATGAAGTTGTTCACACTATTCCTTTACTATCTTTTTAGTGTCCATAGTATTGAAAGTGATAGCGTCTGTAGTGATGTCCTCTCTTTCATTTTTAGTATTAATAATTTGTAGCCTTTTTTCTTAGCCTGACTAGAAGCTTATTGATTATATTGATCTTTTCAAAGAACCAGCTTTTGGTCTGATTTCTTTTATTGATTTCCTGTTTTCAATTTCATTGATTTCTGCTCTAATTTGTATTATACTCAGTCCTACACATCCGTAAGTTCTGCATTCATGGATTCAACCCACTGGATTAAAATTATTTTTTTAGACATTGTATTGTAGACTAGACTTTGTTGTGTCATTATTCCCTAAACAATACAGTACAACAATTATTTACATCATATTAGGTATTATAAGCAATTTAGAGGTGATTGAAGTGTATGGGAAGATGTGCATAGGTCACAGACAAATGTTACTTCATTTTATATTGGAAACTTGAGCATCTGTGGATTTTGGTCTCTGTGGAAGGTCCTGGGACCATACCCTTTTTCTCTTTGCTTTTTGCTTTTCAAACTTTCTATTGAGGTATCATTCAGCTCAAAGATCCTTTCCTCAGCTATGTCCAGTCTACTAGTAAGCCTATCAAAGGCATTCTACATTTCTGTTAGTATCTTTGGTTCTTTCTCAGGACTTCCATTTCTCTGCTTACAGTGCCCATCTGTTCTTGCATGATGTCTACTTTATCCATTAGACTCCTTAGTATATTAATCATCATTTTAATTCCCAGTCAGCTAATTCAAACATCCTTATCACATCCACCTCTGAGGCTTGCTATGTCTTTGGGTCATATTTTTTGCCTTTTAGTATGCCTTGTAACTGGTAGTCTGAAATGACATACTAGGTAAAAAGAACTGCTGTAAATAGGCCTTTAGTAATGTAGGGGTAATGTGTGAAGGGAGGGGAAGCAATGATTAGGTCTTAGGCTTTAATGAGCCTACGTCTCTGGACTTTGAACTTCACAAGCATTTCTCAGTTTTTTTTCTGTTCCCTTAGGTGGGACAGAATGGCTAGAGTAGGCTGGAATTGGCTTTTTCCTTTCTCCCACATGAAAGGCTAGAGCTGACTAGAATTAAGTATTCCCTTCCCCAGGCAGTTGGCCCTTGAGAATACTCCAACAGGTTAGGATCTGGTTAACTTGTTTCTCCTGAGGACAGGCCTTGTTAAGAAGAACAGAATACTGTTGGCATATTTCAAAATGGTTCCTTTCCCCTACCAGCGCCAAAAGCATAAGGCAATTTTTCTCTGATATTGTGAGCTCCTGGAGGTATATCTCATGATACTGTGGGGGGCTCCTTATGACTGTATCCCTCTCAGAGCGGGACTCCTCTCAGAGCTAATCACACTGAGCTTCAGCAATTTACCAATTACAGCTCAGGTTTTCCTACCCTGGCACTGGTTTCCAGTATGTGTCTCCTTAAGTCAAAACCCCCTGTAATCTGGGTGCTCTATAGCCCTTCCCATCAGTGTCGTCAGGACTAAATGTAAACACAGGAATCAAATCCACCTAAACCAGTGTTTCTAACAAAGGTCGGTACAACTTAAGATACTTAAAAATCCCAAGATATATACATTGACTCAAATGCTTGGATTAAACTCTCAGTTCCCTAATAAACAAGTTGAAACTATTATACTTTCTCATGTTTCTCTATCACCTCATTTGACACCATTTTTTCTCTCCAATATAGATGCTACTTGGGAAGGAGGTAGCAGTGTAGAATATGAGTTTTAGTTTAGGGGAAAGTAAGTAGCATGCTCACAAGTTTAAGGTCATTTGATATGAATATATAAAGTCTGAAAAAAGCTATCAGAATGGATCCTAAAGCACTGTACTTACTCTGAACAGTATTTAACACATTGAGAGATTTAGTAAATGCCTTTGAAAGGCTGACCTTAAAAAAACAAATTAAAAAAACTGTTATAACTCAGAAAGTCTTTTTACATCATATTTTTTTTCCTAAATTGCTTGGCAGAAGACAGCTAAAATTGCAACCTGTAATTCATCATTCTCCTGCCAATAACTAAAAGTTCTAAATAAAGCAGCACTGTAGCATGGAACAGCACTTTTAGGATTATTTACTTGCAACATTCCAAATTCAAAATTCTTTTTTCCTGTGTAGTAACTATGGTACAACAAATCTTGACAGCAGTGCAAAAAGCAAAGCCCCGTTCTTTTTAAATAGCCTTAGGCATCTCCCATGTTATGAGGCCTACAGAATTCCGAACTCAGGACAGACTTACTTGATTACCTAAGAGCCCTGGGGTATGCTTATAAATTAAGTTTTATAAATTTTTAAATTATAAATAGCAGTAGCAACAACAGTAGTTTAACTACAAGGGAAAATCAGTTCCCCCCAAACTGAAGACTCTCAGACCCCGGAGGTTGCCACACTCTGTGTAAGTGAGCTTTTGGACAGGCAAGGGATTCTCCAAGGATAACGGTCTACCCCTGGGTCAATGACATATGCTATCTGAAATACCGGCTAAAGCAATTCAAAAAATCTACACTGACACAAGGGGAAAACAAGCTCTCTAATGTAACCAACAACTGAACCAGAGGATTCATTTTGGAGAAGTAAAAATGGGAGCAATTAACTGTCATTATCTACTGCCCTCCAGAAATTCTAAACTGGGGATAAAAAGTATGGCCAACTGACATGGCCTCTCCTATAATTGGGCCTCAGGATGGCTAATGAATAGCTGAATAGTCCCCATTATATTAAGGTTTGAAGCATGAAAGAAGTTTGAATGAAGGTCTGATATATATCTATGTGTATGCCTAGTCTTTTGAAAAATGGACCATGGTGCTTATTAAAAATATATATAGAACTGTTAAAAGATATACAGTTGACTCTTGAAATTACAATAGCAAAAATAAATTCACAAAAGCCAGCCTAATGAAAGAATTCCAAAGCAGAAAAAAAAATCTAAACCCAAACAAAAAAATCACTTGAGTATTATTGTTAATTCTAGAAGATCATAATCAGAAAAATCATGAGAAAATTTTCATTAAATCATGCAACAAATATTTATTTATTGACTTTCTCCAATGTGTCCCAAAGCTTACACTAACCATCAGACAGCTGATCTCTCAGCTATCTCTCCACTTATTTGGGTCTTCTTGACAGCTATTTGCTTAAAACGATGTTACTAATCACTATCAGAGCTCAAATTCAAGATTCCTATCTTCTTGAAAGAGCAAAGCTTTGTTTACATAATGCTTTCAAGAAAAAAGAATAATAATAACAATTTACTTGACTCCAAAAAACACTGTTAGATTCACTGCAATTTAATTTAGATGTCAGGGCTATACTGCTTTCCCTGTCTACTTTGTCTACACTGCCTACCACCTTAGGTATTCCCAAAAGGATGTGGCTATATTTACCTGTTTTAGCTATTTTTAATATCAAGATGATGAAGCCAAAGCTATTGGTTCAATCTTCACAAGGGACTTGCTATTTGTCATTGTGTATACTTAAAGCAAACAAATGATCAGTGCAATCTGTCTTCATTAAACAATCTTAGGATGTACAAGCACAGAAACAGTTTGGGTCAGAGATATTATCTTCACAACTGACAAAAGAATATCAAGTATTCACCTCCCTACCTGACCCGGAGACTTATTCTAAGAGTCCCACAACCCAGTCGGAAAACTTCCCAGTGAACTGAAAGGTTGAACTCTGATCTAGGTCCTTCTCTTACTTATCTGAAGTTTCAGGCTATCAAAACTCAAAACGGTTACAGCATACACATAAATTTTTCATTCCCAGGCTTGCTCACCCACAAATGCTAATTCCCCACATTGACAACCTACTGGACTTTGTTTCCACTTTTGGCAAAGAGGGTATGACTCAAACTGCTGGTCTCTCCCAGTGGGATAAATCCAATGGGAATCTTACTGAAGGTAGCCTGCGGGGTGAGGGGGGAAGAAGAGGAAAGTTTTATTGTTATGATCAGAAAATCAGGCTTAATGGAGAAGCACAGGTGTATCCACTATGACAAATAATTGACCCTGTATCTGCCTCCCCATCTCCTTTCCCACATCCCTAGACCAGCAATCAAATACAGCTAGGTGGGCAATTTCTAACAAAGCAGTCAATGAAAACAAAATGACTCGGAATTTGGAAGAAATATTTATGTACTCATTAATGACATCTGTTTGAAAGAAATTTGGTTAAGATAATGACGGTTTTGAACATATCGGATTAATGCACTAGTACAACAGAGATAGTATTATGTTGTCACACTATTTGATAAAGTTGAAGATAAAATTCAACTAAAAATGTCTACCATTTATACAGAGATCAACGACAGGTGAAGGTGCTTTATAAACTATTTTAAGTACAAATAAGGCAAAGAGAATAAACAAGTTCAAGTAATGGATGGTACTGACATACCAGTTAACTTAATTAAATGTCACACATACAATAGATATTATAAGGTTCAAAACAATTCTGAGCACAATCTACTATTACCAAAGAGCCTGAGAAGGATCTTCTAATTATTGTACAAAAGTACGTAAAATAATGGTACAAAAACACTCATGTGCCCACAACCTAAATTTAATAAATGTTAGCATTTGCCTTTTTCTTTGTATGTTTTAAGAAATAAAATGATAGAGATAAAATGAAAGTCCCTCCTAAACCTATTCTCCTCTCTCCCTTCCCAGAGGAGACCATTATCCTGAGGCTGGTGTGATTCCTTTCCATCCACATTATTATTCTTTTGCTACATATCTAGGCATCAATTAACAATACATAGTATTGTTTTCTAAATTTTAAAACTTCATTGAAATGCATAACATACCTGGGCAACCTGCTGTTTTTATTCAATACTTTTGGGATTTAACCATATAGATATTTATACACCTAGTTCATTCATTTTAACTGTTAGATGACTCCCACTATATGAACATAGCACAATTTATTTATTAAAAAGTTCTTTGAAAAAAAGATTCCATAATAAAATTTTAAATAACCATCGTCCAGTTATTGGATGCCATCAATTACCAAACCAGAAAAGTCCCCATATGTTAATATACGGGTTCTATGACATGGGTAGCAGTACTTTCCTTTCTAAAATTCAAGAAAGCACAACTTGTACCCATTTTAAAACATAGAAAAAAAAGTAAAAGAAGAGCAATAAAAAAGAACAGAAAAATAAAAGTTAAAACGCAATTACTCTTTCTTTAAAGCTCACCTCATCTGTTCGTCGAAGAACTCCAGTAACAACCTACAAATATAATAAAACATTATTATAAACCATATGTATTTCCTTTATAATAAAAGAACTGGATTTAATTTTCATAGACCATAAACTTATTCCTGTTTTCTTCTTAGAAACTCTCTTAAAAGATGCATTGCATCTTCAAACATATTCTCCAGTACAATCAGAACTAAATTAGATTGTATTTTTGACCTAGATCAACAAAACAATAAAGGCTAAGATAAAATAATTATTTAAAACTCCAAGTTGTATTAGTAAAAATATGTTTTAAGTTCTATAAAATGGGTATAAATGTGATATATACATCAATTATACAAAAAACCCTAGTTTACTACTGTGAAGTTCACATATGGGAAAAAAGCACTTTGCTACACTCAGAGAGAGTGCACTCAATCGTTCTTATTGACAAATATGAAGGATAGTATTCTTGTAAAAACTGTGAAAAATATCTAAAGAAAAAAAATTCTCCTAATTCCATCATAACCAATTATTAATCACTTGTTTATTTTTGCCATATTTCCCTCCAATCCTTTTTCTAATCAGTGCATGTTTTTATTTTTAAATTTATTTATTTTACTTTAGGTGCATACTATATCTGGCACTTCTCCCCATGTTATCCCTCCTAACCCTCCCCTCCCTCCTCACCCACACTGTCTCTCTCCTACCCTCCCAACTGCCCCCAGTGTGTGATGCTCCTCTCCCTGAGTCCATGTGTTCTCGCTGTTCAATACCCACCTATGAGTGAGAACATGCGGTGTTTGGTTTTCCGTTCTTGTGTCAATGTGCTGAGAATGATGGTTTCCAGATTCATCCAGTGCATATTTTTATATGAATGTAATTATACCAAATAGACAATTTCTTTAAAAACATTTTGTACAGTAAACCTGACCCAGGTCTTCTCCCTTCATCTTCTCCTGCCTCACTGAATTTCTGGAATAAATGGGGCTCTTGAGAGGTCTACTTCATTCTTTGTAGCCATGCTATCAATATTTTTCACACTTCATTAAAAAGCCATAAAAACAATTACAAGGTCATTAGCACAGCCTTTTAAAAAGAAGCTTAGTAAGGCTCACGTAATTACTAAGTCAAACATAGGACAGTGCTCTGTCTGCTGTTAGCTTCTGATCCTTGAACACTGGTAAAACAGACAAATGGGGACAACAGGTAATCAGAAATGAGGTATGAATGTGAATTATAGTATACAGGATTGAATAATTGATCAGTGAGTGGGATCACCTGCACTGGGCTCTTTAGGGACTTCCAATGTATAATGAATATACCAGTCTGCTGCATGAAAAAGAAGAGTACTTGCAGGGTACATACTTATTGTCCTTAATGGACCAAAGTAAGCATTAGGGTATTTTTATTAATAAATTTTATTATTTAAAAGTAGTCCTAGGTTCGCAGCAAAATTGAGAGGAATACAGAGATTTCCCATGTTCCTCTGGCCCCAACATGTGAACCTTGCCCCCATTATCAACATCCTTAACCAGAGTGGCACATTTGTTACAACTGATGGATCTACATTGACACATTATTATCATCACCTAAAGTCCATAGTTTCCATTAGGGTTCACTCTTGGTGTTGTACATTCTATGGGTTTCCACCAATGTATAACACCATGTATTCACCCCTACAGTATCTTAATGAATAGTTTCACTGCCCTACCAATCCTCTGTGCTCTGCCTATTCATCCCTTTCTTCAGTGTCTGGTAACCACTGACGTTTTCACTGCCTCCATAGTTTTGCCTTCTCCAGATATCAAATAGCTGGAATCACACAGTACGTAGTCTTTTCAGAGTATCCTCTTTCACTCAGTAACATACATTTAGGTTTCCTTCATGTCTTTTCATGGCTTGATAGCTCACTTCTTTTTAGTGCTGAATAATATCTATTGTCTGAATGTACCTCATTTTACTTATTCATTCACATTCTAAAGGACATCTTGGTTGCTTCCAAGTTTTGGCCATTATGAATAAAGCTGCTACATGTGCAACTGTGTGGACACAGGATTTCAACTCCTTTTGTAAATACCAAGGAGCATGACTGCTGGACCATATGTTAAGAGTATGTTCAGTTTTGTAAGAAACCACCCAACTGTTCTAAAGTGGCTGTACCAAAGTGGCATTCCTACCAACAATCAGAGTTCCTGTTGCTCCACATCCTTGCCAGCATTTGATGTTGTCAGTGTTCTGAAATTCTGGCCACTCTAACAGGTGCATAGTGGTATCTCATTAAAAACATGTAATATTAAAACAAACACAGATGCATACATCTTAACATACATCTGAACATATATACCTCTTCCTATAAATATAGTATAATATTATATATAATGGAAAGGACATGAAAATGGATAGGTGAATCTGTATTTATTTATTTATAAGAAACATACCTGAGACTCTGAAAAAAAAAAAAAAAAAAAAAAAAAAGAAAGAAAGAAACGAAACGTACCTGATGGTTGAAACTATGATTTCATTACAAACAGGGCTACTTCATAAGAGTCTTCAAAATATAAGATTATCCCACTCACCACCATTTTATCTCCTATGATGTTCAATGTTATCAAACTTAAATATGACAATACAAAAATTATTTTATGTGCTCGGTAGACGTTTATAAAAAGCAATGAAATGGAAGTGCATTTCATTGAGAAAATGCACTTCCATAGAGAAAAATTTAGCTATACTAGCTTCAGAGAGCAACAATCCTAAAATGATGAATTAAAATAAATAATTTATTTAAATTACAATTACTTTATACCATTACTCTAGAATTTAATTTCCATTTTTCTCACCTTCAAAATAGCTTCAAAGAGAAAAACAGTCATACCTCCTGCAGTGTCCCATCTCCTCCTGCAACAATGATCACATCTGTGTTTTCCATAAGTTCCAGGAGTTTCTTGGCTTGTCCCTCATAATCTGTCTGAAATACCAAGGAAGCCTTTGGTAAGTTTATCAGCCTAATGTCACAAGGTTAAAGGTTTAAAAATGTGGGATATCTTTAAAGTTTTACATTGACTCTTAGTAAATTTCACATAATTGACAGACATAAAAAAAAAGCTATCAAAGCAATTATGTACACTTGTTACAGTTTTACACTTTTAGAGCCAGAGGGACCTCAGAAACTATCTAGTCAGCTCCTTACTTTAAAAATAAATTCAAACCCAATAATTTGTCTGTTACACAGCTAGCTAGTCAAAGGCCTCATTTCCAGTCCAGTGCAGATTCTATTACATCGTTTACAGGAAGTCAAGTGTACATGCAAATAGGGAGAAGCAGATGTAATGACAAGAGCACAGATGTCAGAGCCCAAGAGACCTGGATTAAATCTCAACTCTGCTACTTTTTAGCTGAGTGACCTTAAACTCTATGGATCTTAATTTCCTCATCACTGAAATTATGTGTGTTGAGGGAGGGAATAATGATAGCTTCTCTGTAAAACAGCTGTAAAGCAGCTGGTAAGGTAACTGACTGTTCATAACTGGTATTGCACTAAATACAAGGAGGTTATTATTGTTTTGTTATGACTATACATAAAGAAATACAGGTATGATTCGAAGCAGTCACAAAACAATGCCTAAGCCTTACCATTTTTATTGACATCATTTGATCTCAGAAACATACAGATTAAATGAACCACTTAAGCCACCAATAATATGTAAAACCAAACACTAAATTTCAATAGACATAATGCAACTAATACTAAAATAGAAAACACTCCCTCCAATTGATATCACACTAGATATACTAATGGACAAAAATTAAATGTCTGGATTTCAGATGGGGTGAAGCCCTGCGGCATAGTAAAAAATGTATATCTGGGCTGGGTGCGTTGGCCCACGCCTGTAATCCCAGCACTTTGGGAGGCCAAGGTAAGCGGATCAAGAGGTTAAGAGTTCGAGACCAGCCTGGCCAACATGGTGAAACCCCATCTCTACTAAAAATAAAAAAATTAGCCAGGCTTGGTGGTGCATGCCTGTAATCCCAGCTACTCAGGAGGCTAAAGCCCGGGAATCACTTGAACTTAGGAGGTGGAGGTTGCAGTGACCTCAGATCAGACCACTGTACTCCAGCCTGGGGGACAAAGCAAGACTCTGTCTCAGGAAAAAAAATAGACAGACAGACAGACAGACAGACAGACAGAGTCTTTGTCCTTGGTTCCTGGCACAGAACTAAAATCCCTGGAATTTCCTGAGTGATAAAAATGTCTTTCATTATTCAAGGCAAGCCCCTCTCAATCTTAACAGAGTTTGTGCTGATAGGTGACTGGTGGGCCCCTGGATAGCTTCAAGATGGGAGCTAGTCATCAGAAGGGCCAGCAAGGTGATTAGAGGGTTGGAACTTTTAGCCCTACCCTTAACCTCCAGGGAAGAGCGAGGGGCCAGAGATTGAGATTACTCACCAATGGCCAATAATTTATTCAATCTTGCCTGCTTAATGGAACCTTCCTAAGCAAGGGAGTGTGGGGAGCTTCCAGGCTGGAAGCAAACACCTCAACACTGAAGTGTTGAAAGGAGGCACACCTACAGAGGAAGGGCACGGAAGCTCTGTGCCAATCCCTCTGCTCCCATACTTTGTCCTATGTATCTTTCCATTTGCTATTCCTGAGTAGTATCCTTTACAATATACTGGTAAACATAAGTGCTTTCCTGAGTTTGAGTTATTGAACCTGAGGAGGGAGTTGGGGAACCTTTGATTTGTAGCTGGCAGGTCAGAAGAACTGGTGACCATTTCCCTGGCATATGAGACTGGTGCCTGAAGTGTAGACAGTCTTGTGAAACTGAGCCCTTAACCCATGGAGTCTGCATTAACTCCACGTGTTGGAGTTGAGTTGAGCTGAGTTGAACTGAATTGACCAGAATTGAATTGCTGGACATCCAGCTACTGCGAGAAAAGACTCCAGCACCTGAGCCAGTAAGTCCTAAATGACATTAATTTGCAGTTAACACAGAGGAAAAGAGGAAGCCTCCCTAAAATACTACCATCTAATTTTATGACGAATAGTTCCACTTTTATTCTAAAATTATTGGGCTTTATAGTTATATATTCACAAATATTTGACTTTAAAAAAAATGTATGTAGGTCAATCTGATTAAAAGGATGGTTTGTGAACACCCAGAAATAGGTGGTCATTAGGAATCAGGCTGCGTTCTCACTAAGGCCAAGTGATTTCATACTGTCCTCATTTCCTTCTTTGACAGATCAGCTACATCAGTAGATCTTGGAAATTAGACAGGCATATTACATTTGGTTTTTAGCAAGACTCCTGGCAAGTCACTTGATGATCTCCCTGTGGACAGGTGAAGAAATGTGGAAACAACATGGTAGAATACAAGTAAGTGGAAGAGCTACCAATTCAATATCTGTGTCCAAAATGTGATGCTCATTGGAATGATGTCAGATTGCTGGAAGATTCCTAAGACATTTCATTAAGGCTCCCCCTTCAGCTGTTTCTTAGGCAATACTTTATCAACAATGGAAGTGAAAGGTAATTTACTAGATATACAAATGATACAAAGCTGACATTTGCCCTTCCTTACTTCTCTAATCTCATCCTCTCTTACTCTCACCCTTTGCTTATTTCACTCCAATCACGCTGGCCTCTTTATCATGCTTTAAATACGTCAAGTACACACATGCCTCGGGGCCTTTGGACATGCAGTATCACAGCTCGTGATACTGTGATACTCCTTCCTCAAGCATCTCCATGACTAATTCATTTCCTTTGGGTGTCTGTTTGAAGTCCATCTTGTCAGACTTGCCTTCCTTGACATCTGCACTAAAATAACACCCCTATTAGTCTTTGTCTCTTTACCTTGCTTAATCTTTCTTCTTAGCACTCATCACCATCTCACAAATTATATGTTTATTTGTATATTTGTTTCTCACCTGCATTCTTGCTTTCCAGCCTTGAAATGTACATCTTTAAGGACAGATGGGGAGTTTATTTTGTTCAGACTATATCCCCAGTACCTAGAACAAGGCTTAGCTCATAGTAGGAACTAAAAAATATTCGCAAAAACAAATTAATAAATGTAAATAGGTACATGAATAAAAGAATCAAAGTTTTAAAAGATCTTGACAGATCTGACAGACCATAATTTAAAATATTAATAGAGATCATATTAATATATTTGAGGCTCCGATCTTAGGAAAAAAAATCCCAAATGCACCAAAAAAGCAAGGATAAAAATGTGACCTAACAATTACCCACCTCCCAGAAAAAGAATCCAGACACTAACATTACACCTTTTACAAAAACTAACTCAAAATGGATCACGGGCCTAAAGGTACAATGGAAAACTATAAAATGTCTAGAAGATAACATAGGAGAGACTTTTTAAGTGATCTTGGGTTTGGTGATTGAGTTTTTAGATACATCACCAAAAGCATGATCCATGAAAGAAAAAAAAAATTGATAAAATGAAATTCAGTAAAATTTAAAACTTCTGCTATATAAAAAAACACTATTATAAGAATCAAAAGACAAGCCACAGCCTGAGAGAGAATATATGCAAAATGCATAGCAAACAACTTGCATCTAAAATATACAAACAACTCTTAGAACTCAACAAAAAAAAAAACCAGCCCAACTAAAAGGGCAAAGATCTGAACAGACACCTCATCAAAGATCTACAGATGGATAATAAGCATATGGAAATATACTCAACATTACATGTCATTAGAGAATTGCAAATTAAAACAATGAGATATCATTATACATTTATTTCAATGGCTAAAATCCAAAACACTAACAATGACAAAGACTGACGAGGATATTGAACAAAACAGGAACTCTAGTTCACTCGTGGTAATAATACAAAATGGTACAGCCACTCTCTGTAGCAGTTTCTTACAAAACCATAGTCTTACCATATTAGCCAGCAATAGCACTCCTAGGTATTTACCCAAATGAGTGGAAACCTTATTTTGCCCACCCAAGAACCTGCACATTAATGTTTATAGCAACTTTATTCACAGCTGCTAAAACTGGAAGCAACCAAGATGTATTTCAGTAGGTGAATGGATAAACTGCAGTACATTCAGACAATAGACTATTATTCAGCAAAGAAATGAGCTAACAAGCCATGAAAACATGGAGAAATCTAAACTGCATATTGCTAAGTGAAATAAGCCAATCTGAAAAGGCTATCTACTGTATGATTCCAACGATGTGACATTTAAAAAATAGCAAAAGTATGGTGACAGTAAAAACATCAGCCCTGGAGAGAAGGATGAATAGGTAGAGCAGAAGAGCAGCGAGGATTTTCAGGGCAGTGAAATTTATCTGTCTGATAATATAATGGTGAACACAATGCATTATGCATTTGTCAAAACCCACAGAACTGTGCAACACAAAGAGCAAATGGAAATGAAAACTATGGACTTGAGTTAATAATAATGCATCAATAATGGTTCATTAATTGTAGGAAAGGTACCACACTAATATGAGATGTTAATAATATGGGAAATTGTGGGCAGGGGAGAGAAGGAATATAGGTACTCTGTGATTTCTGCTGCATTCTTCCTTCATCCTAAAACTGCTCTAAAAAATAAAGTCCACTTTTTAATAAAGTGGTCTGATGGTACACAGCAAACAAGATAATGAGTTCCATATGACTCAAAAGCATGATATATCGACAACAACAAAAGAGTCTGAGCTTGAGCTGTTTGAAAGAATGGTGATCTTGCTTTACTCTTCCTTAGATAGCCCATACCTCATTTCTGGGCACTACTGGAGAATATTCCTGAGCAAAAAACTGCCAAGAATCTCAGCACCGCTGTTTCAGCCGGCACAGTGAGTCGCCGCAAGGGAAATCACACAGATCCCAGCACCTAAAACAGGCGGCTGAATACCTGGGAGAGAGTTGACCATTCAACTAAAAAAAAGAAAAAAAAAAAAAAAAAAAAAAACACAGACTC